CTGTCATTCAGGTCTGATTTAAAGGCTTAAAAGGTCTAAAAGATGCATTTAATGTCTTCCAAAAAGTCGAGAGAACGTTCTCAGTTTTGTGATTCATTCACAATTTGAAAACAGTGCATTTACAGCAGTTGTTTAATAAATGTATAAATTCTACATATGATATGTGCACCACTGTAATTATTGCACTAAATCTTTGTTATCGTTGTAAACACATGTGTTTGTAGGCGCTCTGTTGATAATAAAGTACTTATCCTATCCTATCCTATCCTAAGGGATACAAAGTTCTAAACTACGTATGTGAAAGGGGTACCATTCGACGCCCCCCCCGCCTCCCGCACCTCGAAAGGCAGTTCAGAGTGAAATCCGCATTGAATGAAGTTGATAAGGGCGCAAATTGAGAGAATGTTTGCTATTCATCATTTCTTAGTTTTTTAAATAAGTCATAATAAGACAGAAACTCACAAAAGGTACAAGTTTGTGGCTCTCTAACAGAGTCTAATCGACGATCATACTGCAGTCTTGTAGCTCTATACAGCATACACCGGAAGACAATTACGCATTTATTTTTTTGCGGAAGTGTTAAAAAGATTTCAGAGATCGCGGCGATATCCGCTCACACTAAGTCTGAGGTTTAATGTAACTTGCCTATGGCAGCAGCCAAAAAGGAAATATCAAGTCCCGCTCCCTCGCACGCTTTGCTTATCTTTACTGTGCACAATTTACAGGGAAAGATAAAACAGGGCAAAAGCTACTTAATAATTGCTGAGTTTTATATTGCACCCAACGAAGGTTTCTTCCTAAATGCATTGAAAAGTCTTTTTAGGTTATCCAGAGTACTCTTAGATCTCTAGAAATTCATTCCAAGAAGCGCTATAAAATTTGTATCTGTCCGGTCATCCAAGAAAAGTTCAGATGCAACGTTTTACGAAAGTGGGAATTTTCTTATTCCTCACTCCATCATATTTTTGAATCCGAAAATTTTAGGGCTCTTTTTCTACGAAAGTTAACCTAACATGGGGAGTAAAATGTGAAAAATTAAACTTTAGAAAATCGTAGGGCATTTCTTAGATAAGCTTCGAAAATTGTACCAGAATGGAACGCCCATCCAGACATTTTTAGCCATGTTTGAGTAATAGAAAATTCTAGGCAATATTTGCTTCTCCGAACAGATATTTTAGAGAAAATATTCGTTAGGGAATCCCTGTTAATATGTTTATTCACTAGCATTCGCAGTAGAAACTGAATAACAGAGTGATAAAACAATTCATTGCATTTTACGTTTCTCATAGTCAACGACTCTCTAAGCTGATAAGCTTTTGAGTTTGGCTTTAGAACTGACCCTTCTGTGGCCAGTTTTTTATACGAAAGTGTTTGCCGGCAAAAAGGATTTTGTATGTTTTCTCATTGTGCTTCCTGTCAGTGCATTCATAGGGAGGAATTTCGGTTCGGCCATAGTCAGTAGAGGGGGTAGGGGCGGGTACGCGTATTACATAACCACATCCTGATATATCAGGAGTGGCCAGGCAATAATGTTACTTTGAAGTCACATGACAGCTGACAATAAAACAACCTCGTGTAGGAGAGAACCGTGAGAACGAGGTTGACAATAAATTTGTTTCCCGTCCAAAGACTCTGAGCATACACTTCACCATTTTTAAAGACCATAATGCACCATGTTACCCTCCCACCCCCTTCCGCCCCGCATACCCACCAAAGTCCTACACACTTCATTTTCCCTCTGTCGTTATGAGACAAGAAAACTCAGGATTTTTGACTTGACAACATTACTTTAATAAGCTGCCAGTGAGATAATGACCATTGCAGAAAGGGCGATTGGCGGAATATTTTTAATCAAATCAGTCACTTAGAAAAGTAGATGATAAAAGGGTAGGAATTGCTACCAAAAAACAGATCAAGGAGCAGTTGCTTTTTTTGTGCTTTCGGCCGTCATGTGGCGACATTCAATGTGATGTCTCTCTCCTCCCCAGAGGCGTCTTTGTGTTGTGGGGAAGCTGGGAAGAAAGAAAAAGACAGCGCGCGGGGCACGATGGGAAAGGGAAAGAGAGAAGAGAGTCCTCTGCCATATGATTTGCGGTTCTCTGGCCGGATTTGCGGTTCTGTGGTTTTGGCTAAACCAGCCGACTATTTGGATGCTTTTGAACGCTGTTGTGAAGATAATAGTTTAAAAGGGGTTTCGATTCTGTTTCACGGATTTTTTACAATTCATGTTTTTGGAGCGGTTGTCCGTCATCTTGCGCCTTTTCCCTCTTCCCATCGTCCCCCGCGCGCTTTCTATTTTTTCGATTACTGCTATTCTTATAGCGATACCCAGCTGGAGCCTCTGCGGAGGAGAGAGATCTGATGTCCCTTTTGTTCGCCCTGGAGGACACACACAGGGCACCAAATTATGGTATTCTTGATAGCGCACCCATACCACAGGGGTTGTGTTTTCACAGGGACAATTTTGTCCCAATTTTGACTAGATAGAGCCGGAAAAGTCCGGAAATAGCTAGTTTAAAATGCAAACTGTTTTCACAAGCAAAAGCAAGGGATTTTCTCGCCTTTACGGCGAGAAAATTCAAGCAGAGTTATACTACCTCGCGAGATGGTACAATGTATAACCTGTCCTGATAAATACCACAGCCAATCGGGTCGTGCGTAGTGACAGACGCCTGCCAAATAATCTGGTAATATTACTTGCCAGAAAATCGCCTCGTGGTTGAGCTTGAGAAAATTCAAGATGGCAAACGATACTGAAAATGATTTCTTTCGATTTATAATCCCACCAATCCCATTGGATTTATTGAATAGCGTACAAAAAACCGCACCAAAAGCTGGTAATGTAGGCACACAGCTGTTGGACAGGAATTATTTGCTCCTCATATGTTGAAAGTACAATATCGTTTCAACACGGAACTCAACTCAGGATTTACCATAAACAACACGCCGTGCACTAGGGAAAAAAAAAGAAAGAAGGGAAGAAAATGGGGGGAAAAGATTAAAGAAGTCACATTTATACCAAATAATAGGCGTGACTGCCAACGTGATGGGGTACATTCTAAATTTGGAGTTTCACGTCAACTTAAAATATTTTAAAACCTCAAATTTTATAATTAAATAGCGCAAGGATTGAAGTTCGCTCCTGAGTCCTGAATTTGATTTTTCTTGCTAAAGGTTTATATCCACAATCAGCGGAAGTTATCATATTCTTCGCCGGCGTTTTACCCTAGGCTTTATGTTCGTCTTGTGCTAGGAAAGATATTCCAAGGAGGAAGTCAGTAGTATTAACAGATTAATAATAAATTTAAAACAGTTACTTCCCTTGGCCCAGGAATAATGCAAATAATTGACTATCCAAGAACGTAGCCACATCTATCTAAGGTTAAAACTACTGAAAGTGAAATCTTTCTGCGGAATCTACGCAGCATCTTTCTGAGGCTGCGCAGTTTCCAAAGTGGGGAGCATCACAGACTGATCGCTGAACTCAGCCTTTCCTGATGCATAATGTACGTTACTTTTATCAGACACATGCCCCGCACGATTACTTTCATCTTTGAACCTTCCAAGTTTTGGAAGTTTTAGGTCGCTTTGCTTTGAGCGACTTTTGCGTGAGTACTTTAAAAATTTCTCATTTGACGATGACAGCTTTAACTGAGGAATCGTGCCACGTTCCTCTCTGTTCCGCAAGCGTACAAGTTCTTTTTGTAAGGCTTTCGTGTGGGTGCTTGTAATTCGAAAGTTTCGATCCATTTCCTGACTCCAAGTATGAACTTGGTTTTCGCATCGCCTGGCGAGACCTTGGTTTTTTATTTTGGCGAATTTTGCGGCAAACACAATATGTCTGTTTGGCCTCATCGACAAAAGGTACTGTTCCCTCTGCAGAGCTTCTTGACGGAGCCGTTCTTGTTTTTCATGTTTAGTTTCGTTCCCTTCATCCAAACAGGTTGGAGAAATCGAAAATTCCAGTGTACTTTGAAGTCGTCTTGCCTTCAGTCTGTCTAGTATGCTGGTAAAATCATCAACACTGGGTCTGTAATAAGAATGAAAGGGTGATCTCTCCGAATCGTCCTTTAAGATCGCCATTTCTACCGTCCTGAAGTTGATTAGTTTCCAGGTTTACAACTGTTATAGTTTCTTTCCTTCCACCTAGTAGCAGTAGAACATTTTACGAAGTCACTGAAAAGCAGGTGAAGAATTTCGGTTTTTCGTCAAGTACTTGACTTTCTTCTGTTTATAATGACGTTACTCCATTAAGCGAGGTTGACAGGGCAACAATAGGTTAACAGCAGGTGAATACGAAGTTTCCAAACAATTCTAAATTTAACGAATAGAAAATTCAAAACTATCCGCCTTCACAATATCGCAAAGAGTCGCTAGTAACTCTCATCCGCTCCAGAAAAAGACAGAGGAAAAACATCGCTTCACAGTCTTCAATGATTTAACGGATAACATCAAAGTATGATATCCTTATGAAATCCTTGGGAGCCACTTAAGCAAAGAAATTCGGAGAAGTAAAACCAGTCAAGAGGTGACTAAATTAAATTCAAAAGACCCTCAAAACTGTCTTTATTAATAATTGAAGGAAAACAACGGATAATTCCAGACAGTTCGATCATTGTAAATGATAATGGGGTGGATATTTATTTTCTGAATAACCATGGCATTCTTTTCGTTCTCTCCTTTGCGTTTAACAGATTCCTTCTTTCGAAGAGACTTGGTTAACGTTTTATGTAGTTTATGCACGACAGTTCTTTTTTCATTTTTATTAACTCAACCCGAATCTAATGCGACGTATGACAGGTCTATTTTTTAAAACTCATTATTTCACTCTCATTAATATGCTCTGGTGCTTTATTGTACTAAAACTGAATGAATATTAATCATAGAGATGATAATAGCAATCAGTTTTGCATTCAGTAATGAAATATATCAAAGGCACCACGTCATTGGGACAAAAACATACTATTTCTCTGAGCGATGAGTTAAGTAGGAACTATTAGAAATTACTGATCTATAAAGCTTTAAACGAAATTTGACGAAGAAACAAAGATCACAAGGTAATTAGATGTAACAAAGTTTTGAAGTAAAGATAACGAAACAAAAGTACGAGAGTGAAACTTGTAGAGGAAAAAATAAAGTAAATGTCTTTCACGTGATTATTTAAGTCAGCCCCTTGAGCATAACTTGACGTCAACTGAACACAATAAAAAGTGAGGTAATTTGATGATGAAACTAATTTGTTCCCATTTATGCGACATGAAATAATTGCTAATTGTTATATAACCGAAATTTTTTCTCCAAAAGCGCCCGCTCTCATTGGTTACTCCGATGTCACATGACATCTGACGACAGAACTGTTTCCCGCCAAACGTCTCTGAGACGACAACACTGAAAAGATTATGACGTTGGAGTGTAACAGTTACTCGCGAATGGTGACCGCTCGCTGAGGTTAAGTTTGGGGCCGACCACTTGACTTTTGAGGGTGGTGGGGTATGGGTAGCCTGCGAGACGAGACGCCTTTTTTCGGCACTTGTTTCCCTCGGGGGGTGAAACAAGGGCGGAAAAAGGCGTCTGATCTCGCAGGCTATAAGATATGGGCGATTTCAGAAAAAAATTTCCTAGACTGATTTCGAGGGAAAAAAATCTTGCAATGAAATACCTGGGGAAAGAATTCCTGCGCTGAAAAAAATATCTCTCAAGGCGTATAATGCTAGAAAAAAAATCTTGCACCGTTTGATGTCGTAGAAAAAATTTCCAACTCCAGAGGTTTGGGAAAAAAAATTCTCACCCAAACCAAATCACCCCCTCAAAAGTCAAATGGTCGGCCCCTTACACAAAATTGTGCACAGACATTATATGACATATCACTTATTGACTGATTTGACAATTCAAAACTTGATCACCAAGTACTCAATGCTCCTTATTAACTAGAAACATGACATGTTCTATTAAATGCGAAAGCGAAAAGAGAGCAAGTATTTTGAGGCTGGAAATTTAAGTTATGAGGACGTCTACTGTTATAATAGGGTAAAACGATCATGGAAGCTTGAGTTAAGTGTCCCTTGAGGAGAAAGGTTCATATTTCCGGCAAGACTCTCTGTATCTATGGACGCCGTCTCATAGTCTGACGTCTCCAGACTTGTGTTAGACAAAAGGCGTCCCGTTTTCCTTCTATGGGGGGAGGACTCAGTCTCCTCGAGAATAAGCTCGTTCCCATCCGGGTCCTTTACAATCCACAAGGCTTCCTCTCTATGAACGGGTGAGTCAGTCAAATGGGGCAATATTACGTTAATATCTTTGATTTTCATCTTTAACCGAATATACCTCGAAGGTATAGGGATAATTTGGGGTAAATGTTTAAGGGAAAGTTGAACATCAAAACCACTCTGACTATAAAGGGTGAAGAAACAGAATCCTGCAGATCCCCCGCTCGGCTTCTTTCCAGTTAAGATCTCATAAAACGATCTCATCTCGATAAAGTTTCTCGCAAAAACATGGAAGCGTAAGTGTTCGTTGCCGTAGTGAACCGGGCAAATTGACCACAGGGGTAGCCCGGGGAATGTCTGATAAAAATCCTGGTGGGCTGTGATTCTGGGTTTAACATCCTTAGGGAGTTCCACCCGGTGATGAAAATACCAAGGAGCGAAATGTAAGTGCTCTTGAACATCTATAGCTGACAATCGTCCAAACGCTTCGTACAGGAAAAGAACGATGCTAATTGCTTGACAACGCACAAAAGCATCGTCCTGTTTTTGTTTATCCTCGTCTCCGTACGAAAGGAGGGTAGAATCGACATCATCGCTCTCACTGATAGAAATGAACTGAAATGTGGGATCCAGTCCCTCCAGCATAGGCGAGTAAAGCCTTTTAATGCCATTAGCCTCCCCCCAAGGGACTGTTATTTGCAACGTGCAGTCGTAAGGGTCGGGTGCCACGGGGAAGTTCGATTCCTCAATACCTTCGTCAAATCCTTCGTCGTTAAAGACCACGTCCTCCATAATTCATCGGACACTCTTCTCTTTACAATCATATAGTAATATCTGTAAAGTCAGAAAAGATGTCAACATGTATTACGTAACGATTAGCACAAAAATAAAAAGGAGAGTGAAATTTAAGTTAACTTAAGTCTCCGTTTGTTTCGGCCGTCGTTCTTTCTCGGAGAAGCCCCCAAACTCGCTTCTTTAGAACATAAACAGTTTATGTCGTCCATTCAACGGCAAGATACTGTAAAAGGATCCGTGACAGTTCTACTCTTTCAAACAAACAGTTTGTTTTAAGTTATAAAGTTGTACTAAAACAAAATTGATGTAGTCTTTGACCTGTTCTGTTGTGCTTGTTCGTGGATGAAGTACAATGTGCTTGGTTCTTACGTTATAACGTTACAGTACTAATAATTTGTGTTGTTTGAATTGACCATTTTTCAAAAATCTCTCTTAACAAAAAGAAAAAAAGTCCATATCACATAATGCTCTCCCACGGGAAACAGGACCTGAAGTGTAAAGACCGCGTAGTCGAGTGTTTTAACACCAACTCTATTGTTCATAATTGTTGGCCAAGATAATAGTCCACTTAGAAAAAAAAATTCAAATAACAAACAGCCTCTATCAGTCAATAAATGCTTTTTGGTCAATTTCGCAAGAAGTGCCTATTTTAAGATGTGTTTCGCGCAAACGCTTTTGAGAAAGATCGTTCCGTGATATTCAAAGCCCAGGTTTTGTCGATCAAGCTGATTCCACATAAACAGGAAGTGTTAATTTTTTCCTATTAATTAACACGTCTAATTATTGCCTTGTTTGTGCCACACTCTGAATAGTACTATGGTTGCTTCATAAGTTCTTTGTTTACACTGGTAAAAAATTGTCTCTTTGCTGCCGTTCTGTAAACTACATCTGCGTTTTTCACCTCCAAAAAGATTTCTAAGATACAGCTAAAGCATTGTTGATATCACCGATTGGTAAAATTACAGAAAAATGTTACAACTCAGTATACTTAATGATATTGATCAAACATCTTGACATTACAAACGTCTGTGAAGTGACGCGTGAAACCAAAAGTCCGAACTACATTTGACAGGTATTACTCATGCTTTAGGGATTAATGTCACGGTAGCTACAAGAAACAAGAAAACAGGAATTTATTCTTATGTATGTCTCAAGCAATAACCACTACTGTAAAGCCTGGTACTCCTATATTTTTCCTAATCAATAAAGATAATTGCTTTCAAGATTACTGAACGCTACCTAACAAACTGTTGCATCGTTTCAGTCACTTGCGGTGATTATTTACAAGCTGCATTGAGCATTCCACTTTTGCAGAAAAGCTGGCCTCTACAAAGCCTAGTACTTTTAACTTTTTCGTAATCAATTAAGATATAATTGCTTTCGGTTTCGACAAACTGCTTGACAAGCTATAGCGTCTTTCTTTAGTCACTTGTGGTGAATACTTACAAGCTACCTTGTCCTTTCCACTTTTGCACAAAACCTCTATAATTTAGTATGTAGCCCTGCTAGTACTTCTTACTCAGTTTTCCTACTCATTTAAGGTGATTGCTTTCGAGACTTCGGCACACTAATAAGCGATTGCAGCTGTTTTCTGTCATTGTGGTGGTTCAGTATTTACGAGCTACTTTGAGCACTTTCCACTCGCAGCAAACCTCTATTACTTATAGATTTTAATTAAAAAGTCATCTATCTTCTTAGAAGTCGACAGAAACCACAAAAACCGCGGTTAAAAGATGTCGATTACGCACGCTTCGTCACCGAAAAACCGCGTCTAAATTGACCCGCAACTGTTTTATCCCAAAAGATTACAAAAGGCCGGTATAAAACTTTGGAGAGGTTCTCGATGAGTTCCAAAGGGTCGGCTACTCCTGTGAGATATGTGGCACAAACTAATAAACTATGAATAAACTACGCTCAAGATACTACAATTTTTTAAAGACACTAAATTTTTAACCGGTAATGCTTAGAAACTATTGTCTTGCAATACCAGCCGGCGAAGTAAGTTAAATATAGTTTATTTGCTCAGACAATTGAGGTTAAATGATCACCATTCGTCACAGTACAATGTTTGTTTTGCTTAAAAATCTGGACTGTAGAGTAACGAACTATGCCAAAAATCAACGAAAGTAGTTTTCGTTGCTTTGTGCAGCTGTAGTATGCTCACAGTACGACTGTACGGGTGACATGTACGATAAAAAACTTATTGCCTTCCCCTCGAATAGAAATAAAATATTGAAAAATAAACAACTCTAAAAGCCCACGTTCAATGCTAATCAGTTTTCATCCTAAACGAAGGACTGCTTTACTTAAAATTCTTTTTAATGATTGATCTGCTTTCGCGAAATGATATGGTGAATGTCGCATGGACTTTACTATGCTTCATATGTCAATAAATTCATCTCAATGAATTTGTCGAAACTGAGTTTTTTAATCCGTTCTATAAAATACACGCACGTGAGATAATTTGTCAAACGAAATTCGACCTTTACGATGTTAGAAAACTAGTTGATCAGAACAAAGAAGGCCAGATGTCTTTGACGTCTACTATCTGATTCCTTCTCAGCGAGCTTTTCTCCGCGAACTAAATTGTGCGCGCATCAGTTTGACAAAGCACATTTTCTTACTTTTTTTTCCTGTTTCTACTTAAAAAAACTTCATGCGAAAATAAAATACTTACCAAATTGATTTTCAAAATTGGGTCGATGCCTAGTAGAACCGTTCTTTTAGTAAGCGCTTCCGCTTTGTCTTTACACATCGCTTAGTTGCGAACGAAAAACGCCACTGTAGCTTGCTTAGCTTTTGAACAGATCTCTTTTTGCATTAATTACATAGAACGCAAACACCAGAAATAGCAAATGAGAGCAGTAGACTGATTATAATATCGCCTTCTAAAGGACGAACAATACAAACTTAAGAACTTCTTTCTTCGCTGAAGACAAAAAACAAACGCTTTATTAGCAAGAACAAGCCAATGAAATAACTGGAAAGTATTCTGTCCAGACGGTGATAACAGAATTTCAAACAAAGCTACTTGTGGGCGGTACTCAGCGAGATGCAAACACTACACATGGGAATAAAAACACGAAAATAGTTGCGAAACTCACAAAGTTCACTGAGTTCGAACGTGTTCGGAGTATTTTATCTGTAAACGTCACCGCTTCATAGTTTTCGATCGTTGTCATCGCGACAATCAGACCGAGATCTAAATCACTATATTGCAAATGTAACGAACCTTTTAAAATCGTTTTTCGGATGTTCAGGAACAAAGCAACAAGTGCAACGAGGTCAATGTAAAAGAAATTACTTTTAAAAGAAATCGCTTATCGCATAAATACCTTTAAAAATAAACAAAGTTCTATTGAGAGATTAGATTTTTCAATATGTAACTAAAGTAAAAAGTAACATAAATTTTCTTCCAAAGGTAATTTAATTGGAAGACCGATGCAGGAATTGTAACTAAAATGTTGTTAGTATATAAGTCTTTCTTATAATATACCTGAACTACTTTCAAGACCTTTAAATATTTGCCAATATTCAGCGTAATTGCTACCCATTTTATGCAGTTTGACCACTTATAGACATTTTGTGTGAAAAAATGGAGTAGAATTGCTAATGAAGTCACTGGATTTTTTTAAAAAATTAGCTCTTGTCGGTCGTTTCACGTCAAATTACTATTTTCACTAAGTTCTAGTTAGGGCACACCTACCTCCGTTTGAAGTCTAAGGTGACCTTATGTATACGTTCTAGTCTGGTTCAAAGCGTTCTATATTGTTTATAGTTATGCCGCAAACAATTTCGATCATGCCAAAACGGAAAACCGACATATTTACAATATCTTTAACAAGCTGAAGTACTTGGCCAACCAACGCCTATACGCTTGGCTGCGTCACCGATAAATTCATATATTGGCCACCTGTAGTTAAGTGCTGAAGAATAATTATATATTTGTTTGTTGTAAACTTCATCCTCTGAATGTGTGAAAAATGGCAATGAGCGACGGTTAAGTTTAAACGAAATCAATAAAAAGTACAAAATTAAAGTTGATTTCCCAAATGTGAAGCCGCAGTCAATCTAAAGGGTGGTAAACATCGCATAGTGAATTGAACAATGTACCGGAACCTTTACTGCTTGATCTGAGCGTGCTTTAAGACTTCCCCGACACGAAAGCAGATTTTAATAATCTCAAAATGTAAAAGGAAACTTTGACGCATTGGTGTCGACAAATGCATCATTCCGTTCTTTTGCTTTTGCGAGGGTTCAGAGCCACCTTAAAATTATCGAAATATCGGTACATTTTTTCCGATTACCTGTTCTTTGTAAACGTTTTGTGGCTGGGGCAAGTGCAGTCGACCACCTCTCGCGACCACCTATTCAAAACGCCAAAATTTTCCCAGGCAAAGCCCTATAATTAGAACCCTTCGTAAACGACCACCTCTCATAAGCGACCGCAATCACTTCTTGGCCTGACGGTTTTATAGTTTTCCTTTGTCTTCAAACTCTTTTGTAAACGACCACTTGACTCATGATGTGGTCCCTTAATTGTTCGCAGTATGTACTACGGCACTTTAGACTTTCAGTGACGACATAGACCTACGGTCCACTCTCTCTTAACGAACATCTCTTTAAAAAAGACATGTATGGTCAACTCTCTCAAACTCACCTTGGCACCGTCACCAAGTGTCCGCCTTAGAGAGATGTCCGTCTTTTAGAGAGTCAGATAAAAGGGTTAAAAAAAGGTAGGGACCAATTCAAGGTGTCCGTTTTACAGAGGTGTCCGTTAAGAGAGAGTCGACTATATTAAATAAAAAAGTAAGTTTACACTCCGCAGACCCAACTTTACGGCGTTAACGGAAATAATACTTTTCTTCAGTAAATTTTAGAGCATTCTCCCCATGTTTAACAATCATTTTGAATCATCCTCCGTAGCCTAAAACTTTCAAAACCTCTTTTGCGAAATTACAACTTTATCTGAAAGTTCCTTTTTACGTTTGATTACAGCATTTTGTCCTCCCAAATTGTCGAATTAAATTTTCGTGAAATAGGCCTTCTCAATTTTCGCGAAATTAAGTTGGAGCGAAAATTAGTAAGTTACAGTAAATTAAGGAATCTCAAGAGGCACTTTCTCATTGCGCTGTTTGCCAATTCAATTTACGGTTTTTTCCATATATAACGGTACGAAGAACTTAAGGGGTTTGTACGCGCCTTGCTAATCACAACTCTACTCATGTCGATTAACAAAAATCGCTCAATCACCTTACCACGATTGCCACGTAATCAATCATTAGATAACTTGCTTCATCATGCACTTGACAACTCACGCTTGAATTCGTTTCTAGAACCAATTCGACCTATTCGACTCTCTCTTAACGGACACCTTCATAAGACGGACACCTCTGTAAAACGGAGACCTTCACTGAATTGGTCCCTGCCTTTCTATACTCACTTTATCTGACTCTATCTTTGACGGACACTCGCGCATTTGGTGCCGGTGCAAAAGGTGTCCGTCTTAGAGAGAGTTGACTGTAGAGAGTAAAACAGACGTGTATCAAATACAGTCTCAGGAATGAATTAGGCAATAAAGATACAGATAAAGAATGAATAAGTGAAAACGCAGTTGGGTATATACTGAGATACCTAGACCTTTTAGGGGCTTCCAAAATGAAGATTAATGCACTTTCCAGTAACTTTCCAACTGTCTGTTAGGCACTAAACTTATTGAATTGAAGTGTTCTATCATTATAGCTGTTTAAATTGCAACAAGTGAGTTCATAACTTTACTGGCGTAATAAACTGACGTACCACTGAAAGCAACAATCTACGAATTTATTGCCCGTTAACAATGCCAGCCTCAGAGATAGCTACAGGGCCAGCGGATCGAGAAAACTAGGAAAAACAAAACGCGTGGGGGCTGGGGAGCCTTATTCTCTCTGTAAACCTCCTTGAAGTACTAGCCTGCGTGGCAGACGTAAGAGGAAGGGGGCAGTGGAGGGGGTGGGGGGTTGAAAAGCGGGACAGGGAAGTAGGCGTCCCTTTCCTTCTCTCCCTAATTCCCTTCTGCCCTCCCATCCTCCTCATTTCCCTTTTCCTCTCGACAGCTGCTACGAAAACCGGAAGAGCACAAAGAGTCCGAAAAAGTGACCGCAATTATCTCATATTTCTTTCTGTGCTAAAATTTTGAACACCTTCATGCCTACAAGTCCATTTCTAGGAAACATTAAGCTCTGTCCCGTTGGTTCGCTGTAATAGTGCTGTAGGTGCTTCCATTTTTAAAATGTCACAAACTGTTCAGAAACTTAGTGGCGACCAGTGACGCCGGCCCAGGTTATGACGTAGTCAAAGGTTACGAAATTCCTGTTAGCAATTCTTGACCTGGTAATAGATACATTTGGAGCTTTCATGACCAGTCATGCGCTACACTTTCTTTTCTGTTTTATATAGATGTCATTTCCGTTTATTACAATACACAGGAAATCCCCCATAACTTGAAAATAGACTCGCAGTTTATACGTTGTTAAGATTGATTCAAAACAATGTTTTTAATGTATGATGTCCTTAAAATTACATTTTGCCAGTTTAGTAGTGTAGGAACTAGAGCATTAGTGAACATGGACACTGCGCTCTCGACATCATTCTAAGCAACCTTATACGTATCTTCTGGTTTCTTTCAAGTGGATAACATGATAAGGAAGACATTTAAATGCATGATTCATGGCCAGCTGCATTTTACTCCTACTTCAGTGTGTGTCGTAGCGTAAATCTCTCCGTGGTTTGGAAAGATTCTTGATATATATTTGTGTCTACAGCATAAAAATTCAAGAGGAAAAACGTTTCGCCGCCAAAATCTGTAGTTTGCTAAATAATCTCACCTATAGGACCTATAGCTAGTTATTCATGAGTGTTATAAAATTAACATTCCGTCTATTACCTGAGATGCCGTCAAATAGAAAGCTGATACAACCTGTCTCTACCCCATTTGCGATGCAGGCAAAAATGACTCGCTTTAACTTTAGAACCAGATAAATACGAAGTAAACTGAAAAGCCTACTGCGTTGACGGAGTCTATAAGAAGGGCAGTTACATGGGAGGACTTAGCAGAGACCACGAAGACCTCGTCTACCGAAATTGACAGTTTATGACTTTGTTCTCCATTCGCGAATGTGTTATAGGAATTAGCGTAAATAAAGGCACCAGTTTATAGTTTATGACTAAAGAATGAATATACCCTTTAAGTGCTAATATAAGAATGAAGTGTAATTAGCTTGAATGATAAATAAACGTCAACGGAATTTTTTAATCGAGCGAGATTCTCCGGGAGATTCTTCAGTTGTGGAAACGATCTTCGGGGGCATCCAAAAATATCTTGTTAGATAACCACCAAAAGACATAAAAATACTTGCCTTCTTGAATAATAGTATGGAACTTATCCAATAAAACACTTCACCAGGACCAAAACTGTTGTGACAGGAAGAAGGGACTTGACCAGATTGACGAAGTTCTGGTATTCTTGAACAACAATCAGTCACATGGTATAACGCGTCACGCAGTGATTTGCTCCCCTCTGGCTCACCGGTCTGGGGGTAGTAGGGAAGGAAGGACCAAACCAGTTCTGTCCGATCATGTGAGACATTTTTTCACAGATTACAACAATGTCACGATATCTGCTTTTTAAACGTGTCTTCTCATCAACTGAATTCCAAAACTAATGGTCCAGTGCATAAGAGGAGAGGAAAAAACTGGATTACTTCGCGTACAGGGACGAAATGCTATCAGACTAAGGAGGAAAAGCAGCAATATATACAACCTACACGTGATGCGACGCTCTCGCCTTCCTTTCTGAGAGCCTTAGGAAGTAGGAAAAGGAGAGAGAAAACCACCCGACACATGGTTACAATCACCAAATGACCGCCTTTCCTGGTCAAAGTGCTAAGTTCAAGCACAGAGCGACACACCCTACTGGTAGTAGTTTTGACTCACAGCACAAATACTACGAACGTTTTATATTGTTCACAGTATCTAATGCTTTCACGTGTTTATTGGGATCGATTATCTTGATATCTTTTGGCGATCAGAACTCTTTGGAGAATGGGCTACTTTTCTTTCCAGGTTTCGGTTACCATAGTGACACCAAGATGACAATCCAGGGAAGGGGGCTACTCCTTTGTGTAAGCCACATAGGTATGTACCGCCCCAAAGGGTAGGGTTTTTGCCCCATTTTGGTCTGAAAATGGGTATAGACTTTGCCCGTTTTGGTCTGGAATGGGGTATAGTTTTCCAGGAAACTACGAGAGTATATGAGCGTTTTCCTCGTTTCAATTCCTTATGAATAAGAAAGAAAGAAGAAATATGTGAATTCGAAGTAGATTTTAAGAAATCTTTTTTGTCAGCATACTAATCTCAGTAATGATGACATAATTTCTTAGAGGCCAGGTCTGAAAACGTGTATGGATTTTAGAGTCTAGGTCTGAAAAGGGTGTGAAAAATGACATGTTCTGGGACTGAAATAGGGTCAGGGTTTGAAGAACCGGGCGGCACACCTCCACCCGGATGACAGTCTCTCAAACTCAGTGATCGATCCCAACAATCGCACCGAGAAATTGGGGGCCGTAAAGAGTCTTCAAAAGGTTACCCTTACAGCTATAAGACAATCAAGTAAGGTCAGAAAATGTTTAATAATTTATCATTTCACAAAGTAGGATAAGTTAATTTAGTATCTACATCATCAATGACCGCATTCGCAGCCTACAGTTATTTGATAATCGATGGGTTCCCAAAAGTCTTGCCATCGTGGCCTCCCTGTGCGGGAGTACACCCTTAAACACACACCATCCTTCTTCTTTAACACCTCGATCGTGTAATTCTTCGGTCGACACTGGAAATGTTGATACCAACATTTGCTAGTTGAGCATGTGACCGACCTGACGTGACGCGGGAAAAAATTGGCGCCCAAGTCTAACCAGGTCTTTGTTGTCTGGCACGTCCATTGGATGGTGGGATCGGTACTCTGAACAAGCGACCTCTTGCTCACATTCTTGACATCGTTCGCGTGCTTCTCATCAACGAATAGTGATTGCTTGGTTTTGTGCCGAAGATCATTGTCGTCCATGGCCATGTAGCGTTGGTTGTACCCATTTCCAAGTTGAAGTCGGAGTAAGTCGCGTTTGACGGGCTGGCAGTCACGGTCAGGAGTCTTCGATACCAACGAGTACACAGATGCCCCGCCGGCGGATTTTAATGTTAACGCAAACAAGCCAGTGATTAGAAAGAACCATAGCTGTGTAGAGATTAAAAAGTAAATTCAGATTTTTGTCAAGCAAGTATGTAAAGACCTACAGGAAAGGAAACCGCAGCTCGTTCAGATGATCGAGGAGGGGCAAAAGTGGGTGGAGCTGATTAATATGTTCAGCAAGTCTTCATGAACTATAACAAACCAAGAACACCAGGTCCAGATAAACTAATAGTCGCCAAGGTCGCTATACCCTCTTTTCCGAAAGAGTTATGTTAGCCTAACATAACTTCACCTATTTGGCGAAATTCTACGGTAGAAATTCGCCAAATAGGTGAACTTTTAAATTAAATATTTCTGCCTAACAACCATCTGAGCGAAGAGACAGTGAAGGCATAGATTACTTCACTTGAAATCGGTAAAATAAATATTAAAAGTTTCAGGCTATCAAACCTGAATTTTAATGCCATTCACACAATATCACCTACGATCTTTTTAACCATTTTTGAATAAAATATATATGTTTCTAAAACACTAACGATGAATAAAGTGAAAACACAGGGAAATAACTGTGTGCTGTTTGTTGCAATGCTCAGTCCGGTAAACTGAAGAATAGTTGAAAAAGCAAAATTTCACGAATACTCCTTTGTACCCCTTAAAGACTCTGACAAAGTTATTAATGCAGTGATAATTATAAAGCTATATTCCGTGCTTAGCTAAGTTTGCGATAAAAGCCATAAAGAGGAAGTTCACGGGATAAACCTCATCTCGCCTTACTATTTACGGCAATAACAAAAGACGCTGAAGTATACATTACGGGCAACTTTTCAAAATTTGTATAGTTTAGGATTACATTAAGAAAGTCAAAAAAGAGCGGCTTACTTTACTTAAAGTTTTAATTTAAAAAAGGAAAGAACATGTCTAAGGATCATGGTGACAATAAATGGCACTACTTTATAATTGCTAATTATAGACTCTCATATACAATCATTTATATTACAAGGACAACAATCTCATTGAGCTTATTGTCTGTGTTGTTCCCCAACTGAACTACCATATCCTGCTTTATTTTATCAGCTAGATTAAGATTGCGTGTCTTAAAGCGTTTTCTTTTTCTTAGTGCCTAAAATAAGCCCTAATCCCATTACGCTGAATTGCGGGTTCATTTCGATATCCTGCGGCGGAATCGCTAGTCTCCTCTCGCAACCGTTTTGGTGAAGCGCGAACTCACTTCGCCCCAATATTTCACCTCACCTACATAAAACTAGGAAAAACACACTTCCCGAAAAACTATTTTCATCTCGCGTCCCACGTGTTCATATCATAGCATTTCGCACTCCTCACGTTTGTTCTAATTCAATTCTTTCTTTACTCTTCCTCTTTTTTCATAAAAAAGATTTGCAGAGAAGAGAAGAAAAAAGATAGCCACAGAAGTCACAGAAGCTTAATTGAAGTCGCTATATCGTGATTAGTTCAGTTCGTGATATACGACATATATATCAACACATATAAAGGAAGTTTGCTGATAACCTAATTTGATGATACGAATATGGTTCCGATCTCAATGTGCCTTCTATTTTCTAACTCTAAAAACTGAGAATGCCGCAACACACAGCAAAGCCGGGATTATTCATCGGTAAATGAAACAACTTTTACTTGAACTGTCTGAACGTTAGACACTTTGTATACAGATATATTTATATACTTTAAGTATTTTACAGGGTTCAGTAAACTGGTAGTAAGTTTTTTTAAAACTACATTACTAAAAATGTAAGCAATTGCGAGCATTAGAACACGTTCAAATATGGGAAACTGACAGATCAAACCTACCACTGTAATTTCCGAGGATATGTTGATGAAATAAATACACTGTTTTATTATTTGTGGGCTTTAATTTAGCAGTTTTCAAGGCGTCAGTGGGTGACCCTAGGTCCTGATAACGGTGGCACGAAAGCTGACCACTGCGTCGTGTGTGAGCAAAATTCTAACGTATCACTTATCCCTTTCATTTTGAGTAATGTGGCCTAAGTTACAAGTCAATAAAAAATCATTGTAAAATGCTAGCACCATGTAAAGTCCATAAGGAGGTCTCATTTGAATGGTGAAACAGTGGCATTTTGTCCATAATGGTATTTTTTGCTAAAGTTTGACAGAGTTAGAACTGCATATTATAATAGTTATCATCATTATTACGAGATCATCATCATCATCATCATGACCACCAGACCCTTCCCTGCCCTGTGACTCGTAGTGTGCGAGAACCCGGGTGAAAATGTAAAAAAAAGGTTAGCAATCCCCAAGACTGCAGTCCAAAGCTACAAACACAGAATCCTTCATTTCTTTGTAAAGGAAAAATAAAAAACAAACAAACAAACAAACAAAACAAAAAAAACAGTCAACTCTTCTACGAACACTACTATCACGGATGGACAACTCTCTGACTCGGACAGCATGGATTCAGTTATTTAGTCTTTGAGTCTCTTTAAGTGTCAGTCCCGAAGAAACAACAGACACTTCTCTTAAACAGATAGCTTGAGTTGGTCCCTACCGGTTATTTAGTCTTTGATTCTCTGCAAGGCAGGACACCTTGATCTAAGATGGACGCTAAGTGCCAGTCTAAAAGACATGGACACCTCTCTAAAACAGACAACTCTGAGAGTTGATCCCTCTGTTCTTCAGGGGTTTATTTTTACTCTCTTCAAGACAGGCACCTCTCTCAAAACAGACACTTCAGGCTGCACGTAGCGATGTTCCTCTGTAGTCAGTAAAAAAGAAGCCCCCGGTTTTATCAACCTGCCCCCGGTTGTTCAAACGTTGGATAACGCTATCCAGCGGAAAAAGCACCATCCGGTGGTTAAGTATCCAGTGGAGAAATTTTTCCAGTGGTTAACGTTATCGTTAGTTGCTGATAACCTTTTAAACCCCAATATGTAAATATAAATTCCCCGCACTGATCTCCATACATTTCCTTGAAGAATTGGTTAAGAGAATTTGTTTGTATATCAAAGCTTTTCCCATCAGGTGATTATTTTATTAATTCTCACCACATTTTCCCTTGATTATGTATTGATTTTGTTTGGAGAAAATTGACTTTGGTCACTCTTGGGACTTAAAAGGATAAGGTGGGGGTGGATAGCATTCTCCATTAGATAAATCAGTATTCAGTGGATAACACAATTGAGTAGACACACTGAATGCTGCAAAGCTGATCGTACTACGTGAAAATTAACTTTGCAAGACATCAACCCGACACCGAAAGAGCCAAAAACAGAGCGGGCTCGTAGCAGTAGACAGCTGTTTCACCCTTTTTAGGGCTCGTCAGTACGGCGCAACGAAGAGAGAGGCTCTGCCGTGAAATTCCCGCACACTCTGTTTTAAAGCCCTGACAATGAACTCTAACACGGTAACCTTAATACTTATCCATTGGATAGTGATTTATCTAGTGGATAGCGCTATCCAGCGTTTAAACAACCTTGACCTGGTGTCTTGACGAAACACTCCTCAAGTACTTGAAAAATATGCTCCCTATTCGTATAAAAATTCGACAGATGATTCTAACAAACAAGAACAAATTTGTTGGAGATAAAGTGCCCGATTACAAGGAATAAAAGTAGATTAAAGTTCATCAGACTTGTTTTCGTGACAGACTGTTGAAACTACACGTAACCCCTTGAACTTTTTGTTTTAGCCTATGTTACGATAATAAAATCAAGCCGCTTTTTTAACCCTCTGGTAAGCCACGGAATTTCGGAAACATTGCCTTGTTTAACTAAGTGGCTCATTGCCAGTCAATTATTGAGACATCATAATGTAGGGGGTTATAACTTTTGAGACTATGGACGAAATCCTATAGCGAACATTTAAACAAGACCTCTTTTGGCGCTTGGTACCGATTTTGTGCCATTTGTTTTTCGACATTTTTTTCAAAAGCAGACTGTGTGGGATTTTCTGAGAATTTTGGCATCGCATTTTCATTTGTCCGCTTGGTATCTAAGTGTACCAGAAAAGAAAAATAGTGCAAACCGATCTACATTACAAATGGCTGGGGCATCAAGATGGTGTTCCTATGACGAATCTCTGAATTCTCATCACCTCTTTTTTTTACATAAATATTTAATAAAATGTGAAGAAAGAAAATGAAGTAGATGGTAAATTACTGCCACGAAATGAAATGAGATCTAGAGTTGGCAATTTGTACCCCCGTTGAGAGAAATTGGAAAGAAATAGCGTACAATTCGATTGGCCCTAATGTGACAACTGAAAAAGGTCTAAGTAATAGCATTTCCTTGGCGAGAAATAATTTCCCCGGTTTTGGTCTATCATTATATAACGAAAGACTATCTAATCAATTCGTTCTTGGGTTATCTTTTCACTTGATCTCCAAGGTTTCCTATATTCTACGCCGGCAAGTTAATATCGGTAATTTCTAATCATTCAATCTTTTTTTTTATAAGGTACCATTAAGCTACAAAAGTAATATTGAATTGGTTTGCTATTTTTACCAGCTCATAAAACAACAACTCTTTAGTTTTTCGTGTTTTGTGCTCACGTCGTTCCACCAGTTTCGATTCTTACATCTCACAAAATTTTTGTTTTATTACAAGGATTTTAAAAATCAATTTCATACATTCGCATACAGTCCCACATTTAAGCAGCAATTCAACATTGGTCTCAGTAGGCGCGTTTGAGTTTCATAATCTCACTGGGACGATTCACTTTGTCAAAGGTCTAAAACAGGAAAAGGAATTTTGATTACTATTGGGTCAGTACTCTACTGAGATAATTATGGGTTAGATAGGGAACGGATGGAAACAGATTGCATCTCAAAGTTAATACAACCCGGAACTGCTAAGAATTTTATGTTTTTTTTAACGTCGCCAATATTCTTTCAGACCTACAGGGTTCGATTTGTTTAAAATATTGCCGGTAAAAACAACAACTCACTTTCTAAACATAAATACGCTCGTCAAAACTACTTAACTAAGGTAAACGATTTGTGTACCGTTATATACTAATGATTAGGCAATGCACAAATTGCATGTGTCCTAAAAAGTAGAGTCGATGGTTATTCCGGCCATTAGCGTCTACTCGCATTGGGTGGTTGCAGGGTCTTTTGGCAAAGTAATTATGCGTTTGCAAGTCCGTCTATAAACTCTTTCTAAAACAAGTTAGCTTAATTTATTTTACATGCAGAGATCAAGCTCTCTTTGCTCGTGCCCAAGAAGAAAGCTTGTTCATAAATTAGATGTACTTGTAATTAAATGGCACTTAATGGGCTTAAAAAAGGTGACAATTAAAACACTCTTACCTTATAAAAGGCCTTAGTTGCCATAACTTAACGTGCGTACAGGTTCTTTCTTATACAGGCCACAGAAAATAGTCCTTTTCACCGACTGACTGACGGTGATTGGCTTTTATCTTTTCTAGCTTTCCGTCACTGACCCGCTGTTCCTCTGTGTCAATGATATGCAGGCATTCACAATACACACAAAGCGGTGGATAGATTCTCCGCTTCTTATCTATACCCACACACGGAAATAGGGATAGGCTTTTACGTCGCTCTAAGGGAAGTCTGCTTTGCTTAGTTCGTGTCCAGCGTTGCCATATAAGAACGTCCGTAAAGACGTGGGTATAGTTAGTTACTTTTGATTTGAACTTTCTATGGTGTTATCATCTGTAGGAGGGGATATGGGCGCGGCAAGGGTTAAATGTCCCCGTTCCTATGTTATCTTTTGTTACCTCCTATGCACACAGCTATTTCAATTACGCCACGAAGGACGGCCCGAGCGGTCATTTTCAGTAATCAGGAATGCAAGAAATCACTTTTACGGTTTTCTGGTCGTAAAGGTATGCATTTCCACTTAACCATCGCCTCTCTAGTGTAGTGCTTTCCTGCTATCATAGCTGGCAGAGATTGCAAAAATGACAGCAACTTGTAAAACTACACTTAGCAACTGAACAATTTTTCGTGAGGAATGGTAATAAATTTCAGGTTCCCCTACTAGGCAAGCAATGTATTTTTAACCATTGTTTACATAAACAACAGATCTTCTCCACGGGCGCATTTCACATTTGTTTATTTACGACTTCCTTTTCTCAACTCATTGTAGTAAGGAACATCCCCCTTGTAAAATCAAAACATTTCGGGAAAAATCGTCCAAAAACCATTTTTTTAAAGCCAAATATCGAAAACTTATTCATCTTGTCACAATACACAGCAATGACGTTTATTCTTTGCCAGGTTGGATATAAGAAGTTCGGGCAACATGGCACTTTATATTAAGTCCCACAGGTTTTCCCATCGTAAACGTAATGAGTGGGTCTGATGAGTTATTATTATATTGCCAAACAGTCAACATCATCACATTAAAATATGTTTGTCATCCTTAAAATTTGTTTCTTTTGCTCTCTGGCATGACATCGTTATACTATAATCGCTGACAAAGTATTCCCTCCCAAATTCAGGAATAGGATTTCTCGTTTTCGTTCAGCAAGAGGACTTTGAAAGTTGTTATACATGTTTCGTGATTTTCTCCAAGATCTGATTCGTCTTATCAAATCAAGCATTGGCAAGTCTGAGATCAGCAAAAGATCGCATTTCCGTTCAGAGGTGTTTCTCGTGCAATCTTAGGATTATTCAGATAATTCGAAGAAAGTCCTTTTTTGTTCAAATAGAAACACACACCAAAAAATACAAGGATAAACAAGCCTTACCTTTCCGTCTCGCTGAAATTGTCTGATATAATAAAGACCCGTGCATACTGTAAATTTTAAACTTTTACAGGATCTATTTCATTTTATTTATTTTTTATTATTATCAGAGCAATCCGCCTGTGATAGAGTTATTGAAATTTTCCATGCATATTACTCAGCAATTTCTTAAGGATGTAAACTCCTTAATAGAGGCATAAGTTGATTAAAACAAAAATACATGTAACTAATTAAAAATCTTTAGGTTTCACTGGAGTTTCGTTATCTTTCTAGCTGATTTTTTGTTTCCTTTAAAAGCGAGGCTGACATTCATCAGCCTGACACAAGAACATTAATGCGAACAGCAGCTGGCGATCCTTTCAGTTTTCGACCTTGATGACACATTTCCTCTACTTTCAACAGCACTTGACGAAGAAAAGTATCAACACTAAAGATCTTCTATACAAGCTTTAAATGATACGTGAATCCTCATTTGACAACAGATTTAACATATCAATCTTTTGATCGATGTTGTCCACATGAAGTGGATTCTTGAAAAGTTACACTTGTAGTTTTGACTTGTAGTTAATCATGCAAAGTCGAACGAAACCTAACTTTCCTGCATCCAAACGAAATCTCAATGACCTTTTGGAGTGAAATCAATTGAGAAAAGGAATGTAAGGAAACAATACTGAACAAGTTTCATTTGGACCGTCAAATAATCGGATTTTGTCCACAGATCCCAAAAGTAATAGCTAATTTGCATGTTTAACTAACCCGGGGGTACTCCCTTATATTAGCCATATAGGTATGTGCCACCCCAAAGAGTAGGGTTTTTACGTCGTTTTGGTCTGAAAACGGGTATAGATTTTGCGCTTTTGTCTGGAATCGAATATTGTTTTCGAGGGAACTACGGGAGTGTATAAACGTATTTAACGTTTCAAATCCTAATCAGTGAGATAGAAAGTAGAATTCCTAAATGGATTTTGAGAAATCTTTATTGTTGGCGTGTTAATCCAAACAATTAACAATGATGACATAATTTCTGAAGACCTGGTCTGAAAACGGGTATGATTTTAGAGGCCTGGTCTGAAAACGGGTGTGGAAAATGACATCTTTTTGGCCTGAAATAGGGTTAGGATTTGAAGAACTGAGCGGCACACGAGCACCAAGAATTTCCAGGAGTCCCCCCTCCGTGACAACTAACCTCAAGAAGAGAAAAGCTAAAGGTTAAGGAGGTAACATTCAAGGCATTGATTTTTATGCTCGCTTGAGAGGGGGAGATAAGAAACCTGATAAAAACTCAGGTAGACTAATGCGAAAGTGTGGAATGTGACTAAGCTTTTTTGATCCATGTCAGAAAAAATGAAGTTGGACTCTTTCGGTTAAAACAAATTAACGAGACACTACCTGTAGGGCTCTCGTGCAAATGGTATGTTCTTGGCCACGTGCACAGCTATTAACATCATGGCACTGAGAACAGATTCAGCAAAAGCCAAGAAGGGTTACTACAAAACAGCCTTCTGGGCAGACACAAGTCGTTAATGAATCAACGAAAGAATGGTCAGTTAATTTGATAGAAGGGTATGTAGAAAATGAGTTAACACAGACTTCCTGTCTAAGTCCTGGGGAACCTTGTTGGGCAAGAATCGGGACAGGCAATTTCCAGGGGCAAAGTCTGAAAGACGACTAAGATAGATCATTTACGGAGTTTAAAAATATGTCTTTGCATATATATAATCTAAAGTTGTAAAAGAGTTCAACAATCGCGTGCAGACACTGTTAATTAAGCGAGGCCGGTTAGGGTAAGTCTTGAGAGAAGTTTGGAACAATTAATGTCATCGGATAGTTGACCCTTGGTTGTTTTGCTGGACAGCGTATGAAGGGAAAACAAAAATTTGATAAAGCTGATGTTTAGTGACTCTTCTTCTAAGTAATTTGTTTAAAATCAATGCCAAATATGGCAAGAGCATAATGGGAAAGAAAACAGTTGTATTTTGCAGAATTTGAACCCACAACTGATAGGAAATGACCGAGTAGCTTATTGGGAACAAAAACTTGACACACGAGAATTAGCAATAACAGCCTTTCCCGAAGCTAATTTCTTTCTTGAACTGTTCACTTGTTTTAAGCAAGTATTAGTAATTCGTGTAAAGAGCGCTAAAGAGAGACGCTGATGCTATAACAGCCTATACGACGTCAACAACAGTGGAATCACGTGACGAAACTTCATGTTTTGAAAACATAAAAGAATATAACTCACACAAAAAGCATTCTCCCCCAATTATCTTACTTTAACTCAAATCAAAACGGCACAGACAATCCTAAAATTTTCGTTTTGAATACTGCCGAAAATATGATAGCAACGTGTGAGATTACTTCCAAGGATTCTGTTGAGAAGTTGGATAAGTTACGATATCGACACATTTCAACCTTGAAAAGGGGCGGGGGAGTGGAGGGACGTAAATCAAAACTGCCACTACAACGAGCCGTCCTTTGTCTTTAAATCTATGGACCTTTTTTATGAGCTTCATTTCTACATATTTCCTCTAACATATTTGAAGAAAATGAAGCAAATATCGAGTAACTTAACTCTCAAAGGAAACAACGCAAAATGACTGCTTCAAATAACAAATGAACATCAACTGCAAAGGACCGCAAACGAATATGCCGCAGAACGTAGGATCTATAGAAGACCTGTTCAGCAAAAATATACCAAGTAGACACATTGAGAATTCTGCAATGTTGACCGTGCTTCGTGAAAATTAACTTTGCAACTAAAGACATCAACAAGACACTTTGATGTCTTACAAAGTTAATCAGCTTGATCCTACGTTCTGTAGCGTATTCGTTTGCGGACAGTGAACAGAAAACGGCTTGACTAGCTTCAAAAGGCGTTTTTCGGCCAATTTCCCGAGAGCGAATGGGTTAAGTGTTCACACATGAAATCAGTTACGACGGAATTTTTCCTCCCCGACCGGAATTTAACCCTCAATTTCTAAAAGGGACAGACATTGATTGCATCGAAGGAAAAAAAAATGTAAACGTTTCATGAATGAACAAATTGAGACACAAACGTTAATAAAACTTTGAGGCAAAAGTTTGCGAAAATGTTACTGCAATTTTGTACATTCTTTTCTGTAAAATCTGTCAAATGGCTAACGACCTTTGGAAAAACAATGAATGGAAGCGTAGTCTAGGTAATACTGTCCTGTTATCTATCAAATTGGACATCAGATTTTCGGACTTCCCCATATCTTCTATTGACCTGCTGTGGCAAATGGTCGCCTTTCATCCGAAATTCTTTTGTCACATTCCCGATGAATATTCAGTTTGCATACTAATAGAATCACCTGCCGTCAAGAGATCTGATCTCCTTTAGGGACGGACCATTAGAAAACTTATGGATTATCTATAAAATTTGACATCAGGTTTTCGGACTTCCCCATATCTTCTTTTGACCTGCTGGGGCAAATGGTCGCCTTTTACCCGAAAATTTTTTTGCACATTCCCAATAAATATTCAGTTTTCAAAATAAAAGAATCACCTGCCGTAAAGAGGGGTGGTCTCCTTTAGGGGCAGACCAATAAAAAACTTATGGGGGGGGGGGGGGGGTGCGAAGTACAAAAAAAAGATATTCGCGCAAGGGAAAATTAAATGAAAAAAATTCATGCACGCCAATTAACGCTAAAAAAATATTCATGCAATGGCCTAAAAAAATCCATACAAAGAATTTGATAATGAAAAAAATTCCTGCAGCTCGAAAATTCCCCCCCCCCCCCCCCATAACTTTTCTAATGGTCCGTCCCTTAGTAACAGTTAAGAGAAAACAGACCAGTCACTTAAATTTCTTTAATGGAACTAATCAAATATATCACGCCGATGAGAAAAAAAAAAAAAACATCGCATACTGACAAAGATGAAAGTAAATTAATCTCAACACTTAAAAGCAGGCAATTTATCTCCGGTGGTTTGATTTAATGATTCGTCCGATCTAAAATACGTCAATGCCTTATTTACCATTACGGATATTTTTATTCATTCTTAAATTCTGTAACTATTAACTTTGCTCTCTAAGTCCATCAACGATATTGAGGAGAAAAATAACGAATACGAACGTTTGGATTTTTAAAAAAAAAAAGAAAAATGACGAGATGGCTTGCGTCAAAGAAGTGGAGGCGAAAATCGTTGATGTAATTTTGAGTTATGACGCTCTAGTACTTAAAAAGGATATTAAGTCAAGTAGCCATCATAATGAATAGCCATTGAACACTTAGGCTGAAGTTCTAAAATGAATGTTAGTTCGGCATGGGTCATGGCTTAACTGCTAAGATTGTAGCCACAACAGTCTCAGAAAACTAAAACAAGAGCCTAAGCTAGCGCATGATTACCCCAGCGACAGTTTGAAAATAAAATTTGAGGTGAAAGAAATAAAGCATAACACTAATTTAATAACTACAACTGTGATCGATGGCAATCTCAAAACTGTCACTGTTGATTCCTCTTGTGGTTTTTGACAAAAAGGTATCATTAGGAGGTTACAAAAAAGTCTTAATCTGAAGTTCCCTCCGCGAATTCGCTTTTTGAATCATAAATACAAAATAAGAAAGTTGGCTTTTAGCAGTTAATAAAAGTTTTAAGTGATCGAAGTTGTTGGAAGCAACAACAGTTTACAGTAACGCGTCAAAGGATGTTTAAAAGAGCACCTTTTTTTGGGCGAGGAGATAGCAGTCTGATAAATGTAACAAGTTTTTTTGAGTACGCAGGTTAAAAGAACTGATTTACTTGCTCTTCATCGTCGTATATTACACTTGGTACTGACCACTAATTAATTACCAGTATACAAATAAAAAGTGCCCGAATATATATGCATAACTCTCTATCTTACTTATGAGCCATTGCAGTTAAAAAGGTGATTCCAAAGCGATGTTTGGAAGTACTAATAGACTAAGACGCCATGTTGATCTTTAAGGCGTCGATAAACCCACAGTACAATTGTCATCGTATAAACTTTTGAAGATAAGGAAGCAATAGTTACTTTATGTACCTTTGTAATCATGTCTTCAGCTACCTTCCTCTGATTTTCGAACCCTTCTCTGACCTGTTCCTAGCGAGGTGTTCGTAAATCTCTTTCAGATAATTTCTATTTTCGCAGACCACAAAGAAAAAACAACGGTCCTGAATTTCTAAAAACACTCCAATCTGTACCCTGCCCTGCGAAGATGATGCTTAATTATACAATCCCTTGATTACCCACTATAACAGCTGAAAAAATCTGATTTTTATTTTTGACAATGCGGGGGAGAGGACAGACGTTTGTCCTCAGATGTTTACAAGAGAAGTGATCACGAACAAAGAGTCCACTGTGATGATTTGTTCTTAATTTGAATAGCCCTGTCGTGGGAGTTAATCGAACAGTTTCTTCATTGTTTTTTAGTGAAAGCACGGAAACGGAAATTATATGCTATAAACCTCGCTCTTTTCTCGCCTTACAGTAGCTTTGTTCTACGTGATAACGTATGTACAGCGTATACTGTTCCTAATTTCCATCAAGTCTAATAGTAGCGATGATACTTTCTCGCGTATAGATATCATATTTGACAGCCAAAATCTTCCCTCATTCATTTCAGGGACCTGCACTTCCATTTCTAGTGTTAATAAAATCAACCCAATGTTTAAACTCTAGCCGAGAAATCTATCAACGACCACCAGAAAAGGTTTTTAGCTGTAGCAGATGTTGAAAACGTTTGTTTTTGTCGTTGTTGAATATTATGACTTCGTGCATCCGGATGGACAAACTTCAAAAACGGCGCGGTGCCCGAGCTCTGTAGAGAGCATCGACAAAAAATTATTTAACTGCTCAGTCGCCTTATCGCATTATTCAAAGTTTATCTTGAAAATAATTAGTTATTGAGCAATAGACTTTTACTGGCCCTTGGGATCTTAAAAACTCCTATCTGATTTCATTTCCTTTTCTGCCAGTTATCGACGTGATGCCGGCGAGGGAGCTTTGGGCAGGTGTCAACAACTTACACAACATTGGCCGAATCGAACGTGAAAAACAAAAACAAAAAACCCGTGATCATTTCCAGCATAGATAAAAACCGAGGATATAGGTAAACAAACAGGTTATATTGCTTATTCGGTAAAATTCTCAATATCTACGGCGACTCTCTCATAACAAAAACACACTGAAAAAGCATAAACCCCCCTCACTCCCTGAGATAACTGTAATAAAAGGCAATTGTGATTCTATGGATCCAATCATATGATGTGACCATTCAAATGAAACATCTTCAGCAGTACTTTCACATGGTGTCTTGCAGAATTAAAGGACATGAAATTTGGAATTTTCTTGACTCCTTCGGGTAAAGAGAAAGAATGGCTTCAAGAAATTGGCAAATATGATCGGCCATGTTTATCTTAGCACTAGTAAGGTGCAAGATAAACCTACTTGCCCGTTCGATAGCGTTTTAGGCAATCGAGAACCTTTACTTTAAATTACACAAGACTGCCCTTTTTCAACGCCAAATAGAATTGATCATAATCAACCTAGGCTTCCAAACGACCGTGAAACAAAAAACGAAAAGTCCTGGTGCGAGGCCAAATTATAAGGAAAAGCGTCAAACAGCGGTTTGAAATAGAGTGTAAAAATAATTTTAACACAACTTTTATCACGGTTGAGCATGCGGTGAAATACTCACAAGGTATGCAAACGAGGTTAATGAGTTGAAAGAATTCACAATAACCATTTAAACTCGTTTCCATGAAAAACCGCTGAAAGGAGGCCTCTGGTGGAGGTAAAACTAAGGGCTTACTAATGAAATACAGAGGGAATACTAGAGAACCTCAAAGGCGATTCCACAAACGAAAAGTGTACTATGTAACAGTTTCCGTTTGTTAGATAATCTTAATAGCTTCATTTGCGTACACTTAATCTTGTACCTAGATTTCTTGTCGTCGAAACCGTAAAGTGATCTAGGTACGACATTAGCGTACACTTTGCAAGTACAGTGGATGCCCGCCGTACGACCATTCTGCAATTACAGACGCTTTTTTTCTAGACCAAATCAAGGTCCATTTATTTCTTTATTCTACCATCCTGTTATAAGACTAAGACGACCTTTGAGAATGCCCAGTTGTTATCTTCCTTACATTTTGCCGGATGGCAAGTCGGAGGCATTCGATCTGACAACCCGTATGAACTTTTTTATCGAAAGGCGTGGAAAATATGGAATCATCGATCATTCTATATAGAATTAAATGATAAACTGTGAAGACATGTCCTAGAAACGCTTAGTATGCTAATGCTGATTTAGTTATTATGACCAACGCATTAACAAGACCAAGTATTCACTGGTCATCGATGGTCCCTGGAAGACGATCAGGCAGGGTTCCATGCACTGTAGGCGTATACACAAATTTCCGGAAAAATCACCAAAAAACTCTTTGTGTCGTTTCATCGGAAAGAACACAAGAGAAGAGTCAGCCCTCCAGTCTGGCCACTGGGAAAATCGCAAAAAGATAACCTTTTTCCTGAGTTAAACTGAATTTTTTTTATCGTCACCTGAAGCTTAAGACCTAACAAATTACTCGTCATCGCAAAAAATACCCAAGACTTTGTAAAGTTCTTTTTTTAAAATCTCTTAAATTCTCAAAAAAGAAGATCCGGAATTTTGAATTTTAGCCTACACCTGATGGACTGGAAGGTATTTGAGTGGGCGCAATGTAAGGGTTTTACAACTTTTAATAGCTTACATATCATTCTTATCGTCTCTGTATAGATTTTAAAAACGTTTGTGTTTATCTTAGCTGATTTTGTATATTTCTAGCTATCTTTGCATCCGAACGCTTGAAAAAACGCCGCCACAAAGCCAAAGATAGCGTTCTTGTATAAACTGGCAAGTATACATATTACGTGAAAGCACGCTTGTTTTTGTCAACCTTCAACTTAAGGCGAAAAAGAGACTCTAAATTGACCAATCAGAGCCGTTTGCTTCGTCAATCAATTCACGTGATGGTTGATCTAGAAAAGAGTGTTTCAATTCTTTCAGCCCCACATTTGAAATAGTTTGACGTTTGTTACGAACATGTAGATCCGGCTACAAGAAGTAACAGCTGATTCTTCTTGTGCCGTTCCTTACATTCACTGAACGCTGCTGAGAATAAAATGCTCACTTATGCACAAGTCTATTGTATTCTATTTTTAAAATTCATGTACCTATTATAGTTACTGAACATAAAAGAAAGTTTACGCCACCGACCTCACTTACGAGGAGAAGTATGTTTTCAGGGGCACCCAACGACGGTTTCCTCCTACATACATTGAAAACTCTTTCTAGGCTATCCAGAGTACTTTTGGATCTCTAGAAATGTATTCTAAGCTGCGCTACAGAATTTCAAATGTGTTCGGTCATCCTAGGGCAACTTAAGTCTTTTCGAAATTACACGGGCTTCAGTATTATTTTCCCGAAATTTTTGATGCAATTCAAAGTTTTACAAAAGTAAGAATTTCTCTGATTCCTCTCTCCATCACATTTTCGAATCCTAACATTTTAGCTTACTTTTCTTTTTCTACGAAAATAGCTTAACCTGGGGAGTGAAATGCGCAAAATTATACTTCAGAAAATCGTAGGGAATTTATAAGATAAGCTTCGAAAATTGCACATGAATGGAGTGTTCATCTAGACATTTTTAGCCTTCCTCAAGCTATAGAAAATTTTTAGGCAATTTTGCTTCTCCGAACAGATATTTTACAGAAAAAAGTCATTGGGTGCCCCTATGTTTTAGATGGTCAAGTTTGGACGGTAAAATTTACGTCACACCTGAAAGCATCTTTAAAAGACAGCTGCTCTTGAAATGGAGTCCATTTTCTGTAATTCACTCTGACGTTTGAAAGACAATGTCCTGGTTGATGCACTGTTGGTGATTCTTATGTCTGGAATGTTCCTCACGGAACCAACCTGATTTGATAAATCTCAACTTTGTATCGCACAGAAAACATGCTCTCTCATTTGAAGGACTTAGTGTATTTTGCTCTAAGGAATCTTTTTCATTCGATTAAGCTGTTATTTAGTGCCAAACAAAAACGTATCGATGAAATTAGGTGATTGATATCTCGAGTATCTGGGCGACTTAATCTTTATAATATTAGGCAAAATTCTAAATTTCTCTTTGCAAAATATTCAAAACGAATAACACCACTCACAGATACTGCTGAAGAGGTTTTGATTCATTTAAATAATAGCACCATAGGATTTCTCCCTCAGATTCAAAAGTTAGAAATACATCACGCGAAGATTTAAGGAAACAGTTCTTGTTTTCTTACTTGCAGGAGATTTGATTAACTTTCTGTTCAATGTTATCAAAAACAACTCTTTATTGTTTTGACTAAAATAAACCATTCGGAGGAAAAGCTTTTTACTTTGAATTATTAAAAAGATTCATTAAAAATCCTTTGATCTGTTAAGCCCCAATCAAGAAAAACCCCAAAATCAAACAAACATCTGGTCACGAAACACGCTGTCATTTTTTTGAAACAGCATGAACAAAGGAAGCGTAACTAAAACTATGATCGCATAATACGCTTAATGGCGGCAAACGAATTACGGTTATCAGCTCATCTTGCCAGGCCAATAAAACTCTTATAAGTCGACAAAGATTACCTTACAAAGAAACTAATTTAATTTTGAAGGTCATAAAACGTGCAGAAAAACCAACTTCCCCCCACCCTCCCTCTCACTCAGTAAGGAAAAACAACAACATTAAAACAGACAAAAGTTAGACGTAAGCAAGTATATATTTCCTGTTATTAACAAGAAAGCTGTTGTTTATTACATATGAAACGATGTAATGTTTCTAGATTTCGTTTTGTTTCATTGCTATACAACTTCCTTGTTTAAAATTTGATACATTTCGCGTGGTTTGCAATAAACACTGACCACAAGTCTCGTGGCAAAATCGATAAAATTGTCATTAAAAAGTTAGTGACGTTTACTGAACTCTTATTTTTGTTTAATCTTTGCCGGTGGACAACTTCTCTTAGTGTGTGTACACGAGAAGGACATTTTGGACTTCCGCAAGATAACCTTCATTACTGAAAAATCTCTAAAACTCGTGAACAAGAAAGATGGTAAAGATGAACCAATTGAAGTAACCACCTTCCGGGAGGCGAAACAGAAATCATCGACGACAAAAACGCAATGAAATAAACATCTTTAAAACTTAGCTGTGGACAAATATTTCTGGTAAATGACATCGAGACTTATTAAACTTTTTAGCAAAGTCTAGCAACTGAGGATAGGACAAATGTGGCAATGACAGAACGTTGGGGGCACATGAACTTGTACTTACCATATTTTGTTTCGTCATCCTCATTTGGGCATCCTTCATTGTAAATTAAAACCTCTGAATGAACCTTGAAGAGAAAGGGCAAAGTTCGTCGATCGACAGTGGATTTCAGGAAAAGAGAAATGACCGGAGGAGACAACCGTGACAGGAGGAGCGGTGAGACCAACTTTTCTCTATCAGCGAGATGGGAATGTACTGTGGCGTAAGTGAGATCCACGTGTGGTAATACGTTCTCCTGGCAGCTGTGCCCGCGCTTAAAAAGCGACCCAGAACTGAATAAGACGCATGCGTCAATTAACGGGGAAACAAAGAAAGCCTGGCCGAGGACTCAAGAAAAGTGTAAAATTTCTCTTAGCTACAAAACTCCTACTTCCCCAGTTACCCACTTTGGTGGAGCAGTATGACCGGTATATGGACAGCAGTAAATAGGGAAAAGTTCTCTTCCACAACGGTAATAGCGTCAGTCACCTAAGAGGCTGCGCGAATTAACGAGATCAAATGATTCGTCAGGTTTATACGAAACAAAATCTACGTAGTAACATACAGGACCCCTGCCCATTGGATATATCCCGAGGAATGTTATGTAATTTATTTAATGAATTCAAGACTTTGTCGAATTGAAGATACCTTATAAATACCTCAATAAGTATTTTTGTGCCCAAGAGATGTAAGAGAAAATGTTATTGTCCAGAATGTGGGACCAATGTCATTTTCGGCATTTTGGACATTTGCCGATGTTGTTGTTGCTGTTGCTGTTAAATATTTACAAACTTGCATAAAAGGGAATAAAAGATTGCCTTGCACATGTGTGTGCACGTGCATGTCAAAAGGGCATGTGCATCCTCTTGTAACTAGTTCCTCTACTTCGGATGGTTCGCACGAGATGTAATGTTACGAGTTGCATCCTAAATTTTTACCGGCTCAAAGCCGTTGCAGTACACTGGGAACAACATTTAATTTACAGTTTGGGGTTACTTGTGGTTGAGATGAAGTTACTTGTCGTTGTTCTTGTGTAAAAATATTTCTAAAACACGGCTTTCAAAGTGTTTATCGGGAGCATAGTTACTAACTATGTTGGGAGCAACTAATGGTCACACCTTTGACATTGCACGTTACCATAGCAACACCCTATATTTTAGCTGTAAGTAACCAAAGCATTGTTGTTTTATTTTGAGGTGCAACAACACTTATTCAAACAAATATAATTAAGAGTGCTGCTAGTAACTTGTATCCTCGCCCTCGATGCTTACTTAACTAGTTATTTAGGGACTTTTTCTTCAACCGTAATAATGGTCGTCTTTGATTTACGCCATACTTGTACTTCATCAGTCCTTAAAAAAAACTCAGCTTTACAAGTATCATTCTGAAAACTTTATATCTAACTTGGTGTGGAACGGTCCGCTATTGTAGATCTGTAAATCGCTTTTAATTAATTGCTGTTACTTGTTTTATTCGCTGTGTCCTTAAAGTGCTTTTCTTGTCATTTTATTACTTATCATCATTTTAATGTTTTTTTTTTTGTCATTCTTTGGGGTCATTATCATCAGGACTTTTAAGTCCGTCCATTTACCCCCTTTAAGCCCCCACATTAATTTGTCAACTTAATGGAAATCTTTGATAAATATACAGTGTATTACTTTTTTATTGCTGTCTTTTGCTTCTTTGATTTTTTCATGTAAGTACTCAATGAAGTGGTTGTGAGAATTTTAATATCGTAATCATTCATGATAGACTTACTGTACATTTAATGAGTTACTGAAACAAAACTAGACTAACTCACTCAATTTGTTTGTGTGTATTATGTTACCACGCCTTTGATAAATCTGCAGGTTCAAACGGAAATGAACATGACTAAACTTGTGTTCTGATTAGTTCTCTTTAGGTAACTTCTGCTTAACCCGTGAATCCCGTTTAGACCCCCTTTTTGTTACTTTACGTCCTTTTTCAGGATGGTCAAGGAGAAAAATCCCCTGCTGGCTGTCTTTCTTTCGAGTCTATTTTTCTCAAAAGAAGAGACGGTGACATTACCATAATGGTTATAAATTAGAAGAAGAGAATTTTCTTTATCGTTTAAAATGCAATTTTGTTGTCCCAGTCATATGTCGTTGACCTGGTTGAGAAAGCAACGACAAAACTTTTAAAAATGCATTTAAAGAACACACGATAGTGCACGTGCACGTTAGATAATTTGTATATTTCTGCAATTGAGGACTTTTGTTTTTGATAAAAAGTACTTTTCTGATTAAATTATGGTAATTAAAATAGTTGCACGAATTAACAAGTAAGTAATTCCAAGATCTTTAAATAGACATACCATCTAACTCTTTATCAATTCTATTTTCGTCACAATAGTCGTAATAATTGTAACACTAAAAGGTACTCATAATTATTCTAATTTGAAATCTTTTCTTCCCTTTACCTCTTTAAACCTGCCCCGCGTAGTTTCAGAGGGGCAGTTGATTGTAAAAACGTTTTTTCCTAAGTAAACAAGAAGTTGAAATTGATGACATCTGATCATTAAAATGAAATATTAATAGACATCAGAGTTTATTGTATGCTGAATATTTGGTCCATGTGAGTTTATGAGATGTATCTGGTACATAATGATGAGTATTCTTGTCAGTTAATGTCATTGTAGAGTTCCAGAAAGATAGTTCTAATTAGCTCTACAAGCTATTAGAGGAAAGAAGGTGAATTCAGTACCTCTTTATACCACACAGCAAGAAGCAAAGAAAGGGCAGTGATAAGAGCACCACTAATTTTACCCAGGTTGAAGGCTGGGCCTCGGCGCCGTATGTGGTTTGAACTTGTTGCTGTTTCTCACCCTTGAGGGTGCTCCAGATTCTCCCCCTTCCCCAAAAGTCAACGTTTCTAAATTTCATTTCTAAAAAGAATAGTACATGAAGGCCTCCATTTATTTAGACCTTCAGTGTGTTACAATCTATCTGATTTGCTCCACCCGGCTAGATTAGCCCTGCTGTTTGGGTAAGTTTTCACTCGAATGTTGAAATATACGTTGTAAACTGACTGGAAGAACCACCTTGTAGATGGTATCCAATAAAGAAGTTTATTTATTTATTCATTTACTCATTTATTTGATCACAACGATTACCAAAAGATACAGGCCTTTTGCAAGCCTTAAAATTTAAGTGGCTTTTGTCACTTAGTCGATAGTGAATTCTAAGCACTTTCTACCGTTAAAGTTTGCTTGCCGGCTTTTAACGATCGAAGTTGCATCATGACCTGTTACATTTCGAGAGCCAGTTGTCCTTAGACAGTGACAATTGAGCGTTCCTCCGCTCATTTTAACCCAAAAATGAATTGTACTGTGTTGGTCAGCTTTTACAATGTAACCAAAGTTTGTGGCTCGAAATTGAATTTAGATCGATTTAAGGCGTTTGTCGCCACTATAGAGTTTGTGTGGCGTTTGCCCCTGAATAGTTTTATCTGGGGTTACCCTCTCTAGAAATAACAGGGCATCGCCTGAAAGCAAATTTGATTGCGACTCAGGCCTTTTTCGCTTTACAGAGTCTGGCGTTTCTCCCCCCTTTTCAAGGACTGACTGACATTGGTCTTTCATGTAATTTGCTGGGCGTTTTTCATGATAAATTTAACTCATCCGATAACGAATAAAAGGCATATTTCGAGCCTTTCAAGCTCCAAAGCAACGTTTGGGCATTTGTCAACCCCACGTGGATTTGCTTTTGTTCTCTTACAGGCATCGGTACTCCACATGGAAATTTTAGCGGCCTTTCACAGTCCGAGTGGCCTTGTGAACTGCAAGGGAGTTCTACGTGACTACTGCCCTTTACAGTTTTACTGTAAGCCACTGGAATTTTTTGCCTTGAGTACAGGGCAGTCAAAGGCCTATGCAGCAGGGTTCACTGGCATTTATCGACGCCCAACAACGAATTATGAGCGTTTGACGCTCATATCTGTTAGAGCGTCTTTTGGTATAATTTGTTTAGTTTGACTCTTCAAAAATCAAACTTTGAGATTTTGACGCCATTGATATTGAAGTAATTTCTCTTTCTAACAACGTGAAGGTATTTGCCCCATTGCCCACATGGAATTCCGTGAATTTTGTGTTTTTTAGTGCGCCGAAAGGCTATTTTTGGGCCTTCTACACATTTCAAGCTTTTGTGCGGTTGTCGCATATTAGTTTGACTGCACTTTTGTTGTCCAAAAGTGCATTCTGGGCACGTTTCGTCCCTACGTCCAAAAGTTACTTTTTGGGCGTTTTTCACCCATTATTTTATGCTAGTGATTTGCCACCCTGTCAAGATTACCCGGTGTTTGCACAGGTAACCCAAGCGCAATAAGAACTGCGCTTTAAAGACAGTTACTAACTAACAAGGTGAGTTTACCAACTTCACTTGGTCGTGTGATAGCGTATCAGCTTTGAGGCACTTGGGAATTCCATTCAGTGGTCATCTTTTAATCTTCTCTTTCATCTTCGTGCCTATGTCGTCTTGCAAGGTATGCCCCTAAACATGAGATAATTGAGAAGAACATTTACAAATTCGCAGCGTTATGCCGGCTCATTTAGCCTGTCCTGGCTTGAATGACACAAAAGACACTATTGTAAACCCGTAATAGTTATTAGGGAGTTTAAGCAAAGGTGTTTTGAGCTTCGGACGGCAACCGGAAGTGACGCCATTTTCCCTTTTTAATATACCTTAGGCTCACCAAAATTGTATTGCCAAGTGTGTTTGCTCCTATAGGGACGATATGTCCGAAAATTTGGGCAAAACCAGTGGCCAAGAATGCAAAAACCTACTTCCGGCTATAGTCCGTCGCAAAAAAAAAACCCGTATTTGGTTAAGTTCGCTACTCTCCCTGCATAACCCAAGTACGAGAGACTATCGGAGTTCTCCTCTTTTCCAACACCTCTGAGTGAGTGCTGGTTCTTAACGACGCAATGATAACATCAGTAGATGAAGGAGTCAAGGCGAACGGCTCAAGTTCACCACCAAATGACAAGCTCATTGCTGTTTGAGCTTTTGTCGACAAACTTAGTTTGACTCTTCATGGACCAAATTTTGAGATTTTGACGCCATTGACATTTTACCTTAACTAAGACTAGGCCGTAACTACAGCCATCATGATCTAACCAGTTTTTGTAAGAGCCTGGTTGGTGGCTCGGGTGGGGTTTGAACCTTCGGCCTTCCGTGAATCGGGCCCCGGGTGGTCTTCTAAACTAACAGGAAGGCGGCTATTTCTGGTTCAAATAGTTAATAGTCGAGTGCTTTTTTTGAGCGAAGCCTCTCAGAAGGAAACCCAATGGTAACGGTGTTGCCAAGAGCTCATCTAAGGTTGACGCCCATTAGAATAAGCCCGCAACTGACTTGCCTCGCGAGCTTCGTTAACATTTTGAACTAAAGTTATCTTAAATGTCTAGTGTAATGCTTTCTTGTTTTATAGTCAACTTTAAATATCAGAATTTGGCGTCTCTAGAGCTTCCTGGTTACATTCTCTTGCATGCTTGCACTACTAATGTTAATGGGTGGATAAGTAATTTCCCGGCTACGCTAAATCGGCCTAAAATGCATTTACTGAGGTTAAATGGAATTAAGAAACTAAAAAGTATTGTAGTGGAGTATACAAAATGTCCCTCAGTCCCTTACAAACTTGAATTGCGGAACAAGAAAAAGAAAACGTTTTCGAACGAGAAAGCTCTGGGGAAGAAGGATAAGATCCACCACGACAATCAATAAATATTCATCGTTAATCTGGGAAGTAATCTCCCACTAAATAATGATACTGAGGGGATTAGAGTGAAGGAGTGGTAGAGTAGAGTGCGCACGCGAAGAACACAGGCTACTGTCCAAACGTTTTTGCATCGAATTTCAATTTGAAGGTGTTGGTCTTGATTTTCGCAGCAACAGAAGTAAAACCTTTTCAGCGGAGACAAGTTCTCGTGACAAAGATCTACTAAAAAGATCTACTAAAAAACTCAATCATCATTCGTCGTTTACTCTAAGATGTAATTCCCCTGTTAATAGGAATTCCGGGTGACTGCACCCAGTTCCGGAGAATAAGCCGGTATCTTACGGTGAAATAGGGGACTGTGAACAATCGAACACGAGCAAGATTTAGGTGACATTCTCCGCTTTAAGAGTCCAACTTCCTATTATTTCGATTCCTGTACTGCTCAAAAATACATAAAAGGTCAAACTAAATTGACCACACCTCATTACTGGTCCCAGATAGATAGCCCGGGGGGTTCTTCCTAGTAGTAGGCTAATGGTGTGTAACAATGGGTGGGGTCGCACTTTCACGACTGGGTTGACTATTATAGGGTTGCATTTTTATAAGAGTTATCAGAATGGGGTCGCGCATTTTCAGGATTTTGGGGGTCAGAAAATTCGGGTATGTAGGGATTTAAACCACGTTAAGTTTAACAAATGTGTCAGTTCATCTCAGATTGTCCAGGTTAAAAGGCTTCATAAGGTAGATGCATAAACAGAAAGTGACTAAGTTGGAATTGTGAAAATTACTTTTTCCCAAAGTAATTAAGATGGGTTCTATCATGTGGCCACAGAATAGACTATAATGGAGTAGGGGTTCTGAGAGGCCAACGGCAAATGCCCAACAAAAATTAAACAAAGTAAACCCCTCCCCGGGGGCAGATAGTTAGAACTTCGAGCAGGTATGTGTATTAAACAAATACCATGAATACTGCGACAAACGTTCCAGAACACAGTTTATCCTGAATAGAACCTTGAACCCCTTAGAGTCGAAATTTCATTTCTCCTCTTGGTAAAACTCCTCGATCAAACATAGAGGCCATAAGAAAATAAGGATATCATCAATAAATAAATAAAATAATCCAGATTGTTAAACAAACTCTCCTCCTCAGTACCATGGGTAGTTTATGGAGAACGAAGTGCAGAATATGATTAGTGATGTTAGGGTTGAAAGGTTACCGTAAATCCTCTATCAACCCCCACCGGGGGGCTTATTTCTTTCATACACGTCGGACGGGGGGAGGGGAAGAGACGGGGGGGCTTATTTAATTTAGCGAAGGTGGTGTTATTGCTTCTCCATGAAGACCTAGAATGCAAAGTGGAAAAGCTCAAGTACTAGAAGTTGTAGGTCCTGCAGCCGAGGATCAAAGAACAAATCCGACCTTTTCACGCGTGCCCTCCAACTGTGACTCAAAAGAAAAATATGAGACTGCTCGCAGTCTAAAAATCCCGGATCGGTCCAAATGAAGTTTTTCAGTCGGGATTTATTAATACAGTCCACCATTTATAAGTAAAGCATAATACGAAGGAGGGGAGGGGGGCTTATTAACTTTCTTGCCCTTAAAGGTGGGGGGAGTATTTGAGAGAGAGGGCTTAATAGAAGATTCACCGTACTTCAAACATCGTTTGATATCTGAAGGTCCTATCCCCCCCCCCCCCCCCCCCCCTCCCCCCCCCCCCTTTAAAAAAGGGGGGAAAAAGAAAAAAACCCAGCACCCAGGTCTACGAAAAAAGCGGAGACCAACACAAAAAAAAAAAATGATCTTTTTAGAAAAAGGAAAAAGCCAAAATCGAAGAAATCAAGAGAAAGCACGTGGCGAGAGGGGGGGGGGGGGCTTTTGGACTTTCTTCCCCTGAGGGGGGGGGGGGGTTTTTGGGAGAGAGGGCTTAAAAAAAAATTCCCCGTCCTTCAAAAATCGTTTGTTTTTTGAAGGTCCTATCCCCCCCCCCCCCCCTTCGCATCTCCGTCCTCCGATTAAAAAAGGAGGAAAAAGGAGAAAAACCTCGGACTCTGTCTATAGGAAAACAGTCGGCACCAGGAAGATAAATCAATGGACCTTTATAGAAACAGCGTAATCTATCTTCTCACTAGGAGAAAAACGTAAAAGAGCCTGCTTTTACATAGCGCATGCGCTTAAGATATTTGTCTCGTCTTTAAATTTTGCAAAATGGTTTATACTAAACTCGACTCATAAAGGCTTGAGTTGCTTAAAATATCACTCATGCGGTTTCCGTTAATCTTCGCTTTACTCAACACAACTTGCTTTTTCATGTTGAAGTCCACGTTCGTGGACCGCGCAGGCGTCGTTTTCGAGTCTCGCGCACCATCTGCTGACTCCGAGACTTCAGTTTCACTTTCGTCAATTGGATTCAAAATGTCGACTCTTGTGTTACTGGTATGTCCAGTCACGCTTTCTCGACGCTCTTTAGCACCATCTCCATCTGACTCCAGTGAATGGGTCATGGAGGTTGTGCTGCTGTTCACACTATCAATTCCCGAATCGCCAACAAACATCGCACGAGCCCGCTGACGGTTAGAAACAGGTAGAGAAGTATGCCTGTTTGAGCCATCCCTTTGCTGTGGAAACTCATGCCCGTTGCACAACACTTGCCTATCTGTTCGTTCAGGTCGTGTTGAAAACGCGTTCTTGCCGCGACCGTTTTCGAATCCCTCGGGATGGCCGTTTTCTCGTCCGTACAAGGAAGGTCGATCTTGAGCCGATTCATCTCCGATTTGTCCTGTTGAATGCACCGAAAAATCACTTTGAGGAGATGTCCTTGCTTGGGGATCCTGACCGCTAAAAGACGTAGTACCGAGGTTTTTTACAAAGGCACGCTGTTCGTTGATTTTAGACTCTTCAACTGTTCTGTTTTTAGACAAGTTGTCCGGCGGTTGAGACCAACTATGGGACAGAGTTGAATGAAGCCTGTCAGATGTGAGTGAGCCATTCATGGAATGCAAATCTGGACTAGAAATGGACTCGTTCCTATAAAAATAAAGCGGTGAATGGACTTGTTCACTGGTGGTACCTAAGGACCGCGACTTCTCTTTGCGTGAAACTTCGGGGAATCTATCACGGTCATTTGGCAACACGGGATTACTAGTGTCAGAAACGGTTTGCGGTACGTGAACATAAAGTACCTGTCCTGGACGCCTTTGGCTCAAGCCGTCGTTTACGTCCACCTCGCTAAGAGCTCTTTGTTCTTCAAATGAACTGAATGTATTCCGCCTCACTGGTTGCCCCAAATAGTTAGTGCGGGTTACTCCGGGGGAAATGTACTGCGGAATACTTAGGGGTTGTTGAATGCTCCCCAGCGAGGCGCTGGACAGGCGTTCAATGTTTGACGGAAAAGAATATGCCCCTCTGTGGTTCATGTAGACGGAATCACTGTACGGGCGATGCACCACGACCGGTCTGACAAAATCCCCACTCCAGGTCGGCAGGGAATTGGGGCGCGGGAGTACTGGTGGTGCTTCAAGTCGACCTGCCCCCCTTGCGAGTTGTTTGGTGCCAACATGGTGGTCCTCACTTATGGACGGTAAATCCAAGTCGGAAGTCGACGTCAGTTCTATATGAGGCGTCGCCGGGTACTGTCCAAACGATTTAGCTTCTGTGTAGTAGGGTGAGCCTTGACTAGAGAACACAGCTGATGAATAAGAATCTCCTCCTAAAGTAAGATGCATTGGATAAGTATCACTTCGTCTCCTGGACGACTCTGGATTAATAAGCATCGTATTGTAATTCCCTATAACGCTGTTCACGCTTGGAGATAAACCTCTTTCACTGGCCATTTTGTCTTCTTCGTCATGGTGATATGAGCCGTTGATGTATCCATTTGATATCATTCCCTGAGATTTGCTTTTCTTGCCAGAAATTTTAAACTCTGTTGCTATTGCAGGAATACACGACTTCCTTCGCGTTTCCATCTGCTTCCTCGACAGTGATATCTCGTTTTCGGCACCCATTTCGTTTGATTGTTCAATAAGCGGCGACAGGGAAAATCCGCTATCCTCATAAGATCGTCCCACAGATGTACCACGTTTTGCAGCAAAATTGGCTTGGCCTCCAGCACACGGGTCTACCTGTACAAGTTTATCAGACATATCAAAAGTAAACACGGCCTTTTGTCGGACCAGTGGAGAGGAACCACGGCGCTGTCGATGGTGGTCGTTTACTGTTAAGGAATCGTCTGACATTCTTGAACTGGAGTCGTTGCTTTCTATGGATACAGATGTTAGGTTCGTTTTAGCGTTTCGATAAGCATCTCGCATCTTACCAGAGTTAATTGGTGAAGTTCGTAAGCGCATCTTATCGTTAACGCGGCTTAGATTACCTCCCCTCGTCTGGGTACTTGTATCATGACGTTCACTGATGACACTTCCGTTGCTGTTTCCTTGAACGGAAGTCAAGGCATCCTCATTCTGACCATCTTTTGTTATTTCTGCTCTTGGCAACTCTGTTTGTGGTAAGTCCAAACGAGATACTTTTTCAGAAAGAGACACATCGGGGTCAGTGCCGATACTACTGACTTGTTTTCGGGTTCCATTTGTAACAACGCTGCATGCGGTAGAACCCCTTCTTTCAGTTGCAGGAACTGCAGAGGCTCTCCGTGAGGCCGGATCAGTCTGGGCCGTCTTGTTCTTTTTTAATGCCTTGTTCTGCCAGTGTTTTGCTGTAAATCCAACTACATATAAGCTGCCGCGGCGTCCCATTCTTCCCTTCAATTTGGGTGAGCCTTGTGATGAGTCAACTGACACTGACTTGGCAGACGATGTACTTCTCTGTCTGCTTTCAGGCATGCTTTTAGCTTCTGAAGTGGCATTGTCGGGATCGCTCCTTTTCGGGCTCAGTAGTGTTTTTGCAGAAGATGTTTCACATGTTTGAGAAGAACCTTTGCTCCCCGAGGGCGAGGGCTGCTGGGACTCTTTCTCCGTTAGTGAAGAAGGCAATCCAGCTTTCTCGATTTCCACTGTGTATGAAGGACTTCGCGATTCCATTTCAATTTCGATTCTTCCGTCCTCTGGTACTGCCAGCAAACTGGGACGACTCACAGCAAACGGTGGGGTGAAAAGCGAACTTCTTGGAGACGGAGGGCTGATTACTGTACTTGGACTCTGAAGCTTTCGTCTTCCCATGGGACTACCCCTAGGAGTTGAACGGAAACTTGGGTGAGGAGAGGGCCGCGTTCTGCTCCCACGGCGCTGGTCTTCTGTGTCGAAATTATTTTGACCTTCACCTTCGACTTGATCCACAACCTCTTTGGACAAGTTTGGACTACTTTGCGTAACAAATGACTGAGCAACCTTCAGAGCATTTGCTGCACCAATGATAAGTGGTCTCTTTCTCTTTGGAAGTTTTAGCCTCGCTTTTGCGTGGGAGTAATACAGCGAAAAGTTGCTGACGATCACCGGAACTGGAAGTGCAATCATAAGGACACCGCTGATTGCGCAAAACGAGCCCACGATCTTTCCTTCCCATGTCTCTGGTGTCATGTCACCATAGCCCAAAGTTGTCATGGTAACGACGGCCCACCAGAACGAGGCGGGAATTGTTGTGAATTTAGTAGAGGGTATATCTTTTTCGGCGTAATATATGGTGCTTGAGAAAATGACTACACCTATACTAAGGAAGAACGCAAGAAGGAACAGCTCACTAAAGCTGGACTTCAGAGTGTGCCCAAGGATTTGAAGCCCGTAGGAATGACGCGACAGCTTGAAAATACGGAAAATACGAATGAGTCTGACAACTCGTAGAACCACCATAGTCTTGATATCCGACTGGCTGATAAAAAGGTTAAGATAGAATGGCACAATGGCGCAGAAGTCTATCCAGTTCATAGGCTTTTTGAAAAATTGGAGTTTCTTTGGGCAGAAAATCATCCGAACAACAAACTCCACGGTAAACCAAGCTACACAGATGATATCAGCATAGTAAAGGGCTTTGTACTGAGATGAAGACTGGTCTTGAAAGTAAGGAACACTCTCCAAGCAAAACGTTATAACGGATATTAGTATTAGGATCAAAGTCGTGAAGGCAATAATCTAAAAAAAGAAAAGAACAGAAACCTATTATGAATTATAAAAACAAAAGAAAATCTCTTCAAAGAGATGGAGGATTTTATGAACTTTATAACCGATGATTTTATGACTAAGTGACCTGGCTAGAGAAGCTAATATTGAATCCTTTCAGCAGCAAATCCTTATAGTGTCGTCACCGTCCAACACTGTTTTGAATAAACGAATAAATGAATGAACGAACGAATGAAATGAACGAATGAATAACTTTATTACATGGATCAGCTTGTATTAAGTGGCCTTATGTCCCTAATTCGTTTCACTTAGTTGCCGTGCAGAACTGAACGCGTTGGCTCTCTTACTAATCTCAGATACTAGGATAAGATCAGTGCGCTGGTTTGGTTAAGTAAACTAAGTAAAATTCAGTTAAAAAGCAAGATTACGACGAGAACAGAAAGGAATTGTAAATTCTATAAATAATAGAGGAAGATAAAAAAACAAGGATTTTAAAGCAAAGAAGGGATTTTTAAAAATGCAAAAAAAACGCTACGAAATTTAATTAAAACGCGAATGAAAGTTGTTGATGCTACGATTACAGCCTAAATTTGCAAATCCTATTGTTAATACAAAAAGAAACACAGAAAAAAGAACTTAAAACCAAGAAGGGATTTTAGGGATTCAGCTGCTGGACAGCTGTTAAAACACTCCTCTTATCGCCTCTCAAGGTGTCTGCTGGCAGCGTCAAAGAAAACCGTTTTTCTATAGTCTAACACAGGACAGCAGAAAAAGTTCTTAGTGCCCAAAAACGCAGATTTCGGGGTCAGAAAAATTTACCACTTCAAACACAGAAGGCCGAATAAAAAAAAAGCCAGGTAACGAAAGTTGACGAAATCAGGATACATTTGTACCCGATAGATGACTGATTGCCTAATATGTTTTTGTATGTTTTCTATAGGTTAACACCTCGACTCGTGTTCATTTTATATAATTTGGCTCTGACTATGTATTATTTTCATTTAAATCTTTTGCTCCAATTTGGCACGATAATTTAATTTAAGTAAAAAATTCCCTTATTTTATCGTCGTAAATAAGTGAAAAATGAATTTAAAAAACAATATTACCGGGAAAAGGTACAGCTTCGAAACAAGGTTTTTTATTATAATGGTCGCATTGTGAAACTTCATCCACACACAATTTTCTGTGATGCTGATTTAGAGTTGTAAAATTAGTTGCAGAAAATACCCAAAATAGCCGCCGGCAAAGAATTACGTGTCATTTAAAAGTGCAATTTACAGAAAGGATTGACCATTAGTTCGCCCCAAATGGTTCGTACTTAAAAAAGTCAGACGAGATTTGACGTGGTTACGATCGTCGGGTTTTGCTAGTTTTAAACGTTTACCAAAACCACTGCGACAAGGTAGCAACAAGGTGAAAATGCTGCCAATGAAGAAATCGAGATGTTTTGGCGCATACAGAAAATAATATTAAGGCAAACATATTTTATTAATGGTTTCTGTCATGAGATGAGTTTGCAGAATTTGTGGTATTCAGTATGGCATTTTTTCTGTTACATTCGTCAGAACGAAAGAAAAATAAAAATAAAACGTGATTTGCATCCGTCATCTCGTTAGAAGAGTCAAATAAGGCATAAACCAAAACTTGTGCAATCTATAAAGATAAGTTTAAAGAAAAATAATAAACAATGTCAATATATAAATTTACAAGTTTCAATATAAGTTCGAATTTCTCGATAATTCTACATTTCGGCTTTTACATGGAGTTAAAAACGCGTAGGCAGACATACAAGGTGCCAGTTTCCCGCACTAAACAGTGCTCGATGAGACATGTTAATTCTTTGTTTTTAATAATCGCGGAGATAGAACTAGAGTAGAATTTCAGTGGAGGTTGGCCGGTTGATAAGCACGCATGCGTGTGCTAGGGATCTTATTTCGTGCTAAAAAAGGATAATTGATTTTAAGATAGATCGAAATATATATCTTAACTATCGGTCATTTTGTGGTCAGTTTGGTAAACGTCGGAAACTCTTTCTTCCAAAATAATAAAATTACTGAAAATTTTCAGAAGCAATAAAATAAGAAGCAATCGACCGCCGGTTAATGAAGCGGTCGATTTAAGGCAAGGTTTATTTATAACATGGAGCATTCGCTATTGTGCAAGACATCAACAATTTAACATCAATTTCCATCACGTTTGAATGAAACACGGGTAAGGCCATGAACTATGCATATCTGTTTGATTCGGGAAAATTGAGATAAAACATGCTAATCCTCAATGCGAAATTAATTTTCTTTTGGCGTGCATGGCTACGTTAAAATCACCTGCTGCGAACTTTCGAAGATCGAGGTTTTACTTTGCCCTATGTGGTCGCAAAATGATATGGGCTGTTACTATGGCTTTTTTCACTACGCTCGCCTTAATTTAGTAGCTGCACAAAGAAAACGAGAACTGAGAGGCGAAGGGGTCTTTGGACAGAACAAATTGATCTGAAATAAACAGTGTGTACGTATAGGATTATTTGTTTGCTCGTGATTAACATTAAACAGCAATCTCAAATTTGGGCTTTCTTCGCTGATAAAGTAAAAACAAAAAACAAAACAAAAAAAATCGACGCTAACGTTGACAGGGATGACAGAGAATTTAACTTACATATTCAGACAATTAACGGGAACGTAAGCTGAGAAAATTGTACCAAGAACAAAAAGATCAGCTGGTCGGTTTTAATACGAAGCTGCGAGTTGCACTTAAATATCGTGTAAAGCAAGCGATCATCAAGCGCTTCTCTAAAACGTTTACCGCGTTAATGTCTCCTAGAAACCAAAACAAAGAGTAACCTTGCTTAAGAAAACTGATTCCTTGTATAGTTAAAACCCTTTCTGCTACGCCAAATTTAACTTTTCTATAAGTAAAATGGCCCAACAACGGAATTGAAAAATGCGCGTCAAAGTGGGGTTTCTATTTTGTATATGACTTAAGGCCTCATGTAAAAATTAAGCAATATTGACAGTAGTTATTCAAAATCGGAATCACATTTTGCAATCTTGCATAAACAAAGCACAAACCTGAGCAAGAATAGACGAGTAAGGTTCCTCAAACGTGGTCCAAACTTTAGGTTGGTATTTCTTCCAAACAGAACGATTCCTGTTCCTTATGCTATTCGCGACAAGTCCGTAGACAGTCATATCCATGTCTGACAGCGAGTCCCTGTCTGAATCATGCCCTCGGTCTAAGGTATCCAAATTCGCTTGCGCTTCGCGATGTTTCTTGTAATTCAACCAACAACACGACTCGACTTGAAGTTCGTCGATGCCCCAGAAAGCCAGTTCTTCTTCGAAAAGCGGGCCACAGACGTCGTTTGGACAGTGCAGCTTACCAGTTCGGTAGAAATTCAGAATCTGCGTAAATACGGTTGGATGACGATCAAAGAAATACTCATTAGCGTTAGGGTCATACTCCGGTAGCTGTGTCTTGTTTTCTGTAATCCAGTACAATCTGGTGTCAGGAATATTTTTCAGTGTTCCCGTGTAGGTCTCGTGCCTTATCCCTCCAACGTTGATCACCACCTTCTCGTTCACGCGCGGATCGTCCGATAAAGACAAGCGTGTATCCTTCAGCGACATGATCTGGTTTTTACCCCCAGAAAACTCAAGACCCTGCTCCATTCATCGTAACCACTCTAAAGTTTCACGGAACTAGGTCCTCCTCGGTTTAGCTAATATCCCACTCGACGGCGGAAAAATATGAAACCGAATTGTTCGGCACAAAGAGCTATTTAGACATAACTATTTAGCGTTGAACATGATTGTGTCATTGAGGTAGCGTAGTGCACCATTTTAATGATCGGACAACCCGATCTCGTGTGCTTGAAGTTCGATGAGAACTGTCAATACCTCACACGTTTAAATTCAGAGCGGTTGGCAAAGACGCGAGAGTTGCACTTCTAAGCGCTACGATCCACCGCAAATGTTGCTCGTCTATTAAAAGCTGAAACGTAGTGAAATACTACACGAAAACAAGGCAAAATTGTCACGTACTGCGATCTGAATGTCTCAAAGCTGGCGAAAACATCGCCGTTTGCAAAATTGCACACAGGCAGAGAAGGTTTCCCCCTGCGGTTTCATAGAATTATTTTGTCCTCATCTAAAATCTGTAAAATGTTATAAACAAAGTGCGATAGTATTGTGCATGCGCGCCGGCCAGCCACCTGTCCTCCAAGAACAGGAAACTGTTTGTATGCACTTTTCTACTATTTTGCATCATCAATAAAAATACACACCGTGGCACATTTCGTATTAACGTTTATTTTCATGACAACATAGTACACGGAGCTAATCAAACAAAGCCCACATCACGAAGAATCCACGTCAAAATACGTGGAGGAAGGCAGAGACCAGAGGCAATTTCTCTTCACCTTATCGACAAACCCCATGGGCGAAATGATGTCGGCAAAAGTTGGAGATAATTAGACGCTCTTTGTAACAGCAATGGTTCTTTACAAACGCTGACAGCCACGTACATCAATTAGGCAACACTTCCGAAAGTGAGATGACGCACATGCGTGCAGGCAGTTAGCTGTCATTTGCGCATGATCAATAGCCCGTTACACAATGTCGAAGATCTGGCCTAAAACTTCTGATAAGCGACGCTCAAAGGCGATTATTTTTTTATTACGAGTGCAAATCTCAATGAAGAAGAGACGTATTTACTAAATAATGTTAACCGCAGTTTGATGGTGATAAAAGGAAGACGCAGCTCAGTCTCTTGGACTGCGAGAAGATTCAAACAAACGAGTAATTATGAAATTAAATTGTCGCGTTTCTAATTAAGCCGGCGTCCGACGGGTGATCAAAATTGAAAATTAAATTGAATGCAAATATTCTTTTCTTCCAAGATTAAAATAAAAAATAAAATTATTGAACGAAAAACTGAATTGCAGTCGATGGCCGGATAAAGAGGATAAAACTGAAACTAAATTTATTTGTTTTTTTTTTTTTAATTTAAGCATGAAATATATGCAAGAATATTATGAAAACGAAACAAAAGCCGTGACAACAAACTGTGATCAGAATCATCAGATAATTGATCGACCATTTAGTTCTTTGACGTCACAGTTTACTTACATTTATGAAGACTTTTTTCAATGTTCATTTTTCGCTCAAGTTGGCGTCCACAATGTTTTAAGATGTTGAACAATCGCCCCCATTAAGAGATTAAATAAGATGAGCTCGGCATAACGATCAGTACCTCGTTAATATATGAAGTGAGTTTTGGCTATAAACTGGTCTACTTAACAGTATTCTGGCCCGGGTTAAAAGACAGGCAAAAATAATAACAGTTCTGTTCGTTTTGAAACTTGGTTATTTCAATAACAAGTGAGCTACTTTTCCATGGGGCTGACGGAAACTTACATTGAGAACAGGTATTTAATTACACAACGCCTCAAATGCCACTTTTAGACAAACTTATGATCAAACGTTCGTCAAGTAGACGTATAAAATCTGCTCGATTACTCAGCAAGCCGGCTCCATTTAACCATGAGGTTAAACACGCCGCTTAACATGAAATACATCAATTTGCACTGACAATCAGCTCTTAGGTTACTCTAATGAACATTAATGATGAAACGACATCACGTACATGGCTGGAACTTTAGTCGAACTAATCGACAACATTAAAGTTTTCAGAAAGATTTTCTCTTGACCTTGAAAAATGGTTTCCAAAAGTGTTCCCTATTAGTTTTATCAGCAAATAGTTACAAAAATAAAATGAAGGACACATCGTAAAGAAAACCCAAAGATCACCCACATGGATCAAAAAAGCGTCGTTTTCGAGATTTCAGGTACAGTCAACCCCGTTAATATGGACACTGAGGGGGCCATAAAAGTGTCCGTATAAACAGGGTTTCCGCTCTCTCCTCCGCAGAGGGGAGGGGAGGCTGGGGAGAAAGAAAAAGAGAGCGCGCGCCCATCATACCCCGCGCGCTTTCTATTTTTTCGATTATTGCTATTTTTATATAGGGATACCCAGCGGGAGCCTCTGCGGAGGTGGGAGGGGTTCCCGTATTAAGCGAATTAAGTTTAGAGGAAATGTAATGGCTTTCTTTCCCTCAGTGACAAAGCAAACTGTCCGACATTTTGCGGTGTCCGTGTCATGCGAATGTCCGTAAAGCGGTCTTAGACGGCTGTATTTGCTTGAGTCAATCTGATTTTGAAGTTATTTTAGGTTCTGTGGAACGGTAACTTCTGGGGCTCAGGGCGTTAAGTAACGATATTAGAGACTTAAAGATCCAACGACTCGGCGGCGACAAGAACGTCGCTTAAAAAGTGAATTTGCGTTCTTTCTGTTTTTATAACTATTATTCCTACCCATTTATTTTGTCAATTGTAGGCGAACCCTCCTGAAGCTGAATTTCAAGGGACCATATTCAAGCTCAGAGAGAGAAATAAAATTTCGTCGTTGCTTGTTTACGTCCTCCATAAAACGCGAAATTAGGCATTTTCACGTCGCAGTCGTGCAAAAACGGGAAAGAAATGTACAAAAAAGTGTGATGCACGTGCGAAGTTGTCGTTTTGCTAATTAAACCTTTTGTTTTTTTGACGTTCTCGTTGTCGTCCGCGTCGTTGGATCTTTATATAGTCCCTAATATATAGATTTAGCCAGGGCTAAAAGCGAAGCTCTGGTTAATAATACGTGTAAACTAAAAAAAATAAATCTTGTTATGCTAAATGGGGGACGACAATGAAAATGGCTTCAAGACTAATAGATCTAATTAGCAAAAAAACAAATTGCACATGCAGCACACTTTTTCTTCTAATTAGCAAAAACCAAATTTGCACGTGCAGCACGCTTTTTTGTCTTTCCCTTGCCGTTGTTTTGCACGACTACAACGCTGTTTTGTACGACTAAAACGTCAAACTTCCTAGTTACACACTATTTTTATGGAGAAATTGTCGTATGTGCTTACCCAATATTTTGTTTCCAGTGTTCATGTTCGCTTTTATTTTTCACTGCCGCTCATTTTCACCTTGCTGGCCGCTAGCATTTCTCATTTTCTCACCGCCGCTCTGAATTTCCATGTTTTTCTACCTACGAATTTTCAATAACTCGCTCTAGCTCTTTCTCTGTTATCCACGTTAGTGTACACATAAAAAATAACGCCGAAAAAGACACGACTTTTTTCTTTCTAAAAGTCCGGGCGGCCATGTGATTTCCTTCCAAATAAATCCTTGAGTTGCATTTGGCTTCCCATACCTGTTGATTGAGTTATTTTACATTGGTATGCCTGTGGTGCGGACGGACGGTCGCTCGCTCGATCGCTCGCTCGGTGTACGGTCACGTGATTACCAAATTTTCTGGGATGGGTAGATTACCACATTTCCTTAGCTATGGGGCTCCGCCCACGCGCGCGCTTCGCGCGCGGGTGGAGCTCCGCTATTACCAGATTACCACGGAAGCGTGGTACTAATAAACACCTTTTTTTTTTCCCCAAGAATCCCAACAATGTGAATCGAAAGAAACAAAATTTACCGAGTTTAAGTGCCAATATCCACATAAAAATTCTCTCAACCGATCTCTATACATTTCCAAGCAGAATTAGTCGAGAGAAGTTGGTAAAAGATCAAAACATTTCCCCAGGGTGCCCTGTGGTGATCGTTTCTCATAACCGTTCTTCTCCATTATGCATTGGTATGGTTAAGAGAAAATTGATGTTGGTCACTCTGTGACTTTAAGAGTTAACTAGTCTCCTGAGGGACAAGTCACAAAGTGATTTGTTATCAACGCTCACCGTTTCTACCTGATGGAAAAAAATTTCCACCTATGAAACATAATAGCAATTATTCTTGGTAATACAGTTGTAATTCTATGCCATATAGGTAACTAAAGCCAAATGTTTTCATTTCAAATCTTGTCAAAATTCGAACAGCCCTTTAACACCTGCTTAGCAGGCGCTTGGAATTGGAAGTAATGGGCGCAAAAAAAAAAACGGAGCGCGCGAGGGAGTTCGTCACGCGCCCCTTTCTTTTTCGCGTATTACTTCCAAGTAGACTTTTCTACACTTAACCTGAAACGCTCCCGTGCTACCTACCGGTTTCCTTCCAGACTTTCAGCGCCTTCCCCCTTCCCCCACCTTCCTTGCATCTTCTTAACAGGAAATTATTGCGAACTATTCAGATTACAAAACAGTCGGCTTTGTCTCAAAATCTGTTTTGCAAGGCGCGAAGCCGGCGTGATATTTTCGCGCGAAGCTCGTGGGCCTAAGACGCGTCTCTCCGCACACAAGACCTTTCCTTTGACCGCTTGCGCTCTTAACCTTGGTAAAAATACGGGCTGTTTTGCAGTCTATGCGACATTCTGAACACTGCTGAAATTTGAGATAGAAAAGAACTCATGCGGTTCGAGATCAAAACGGCCCCCAGGAATTACAATTTGGGTTTTCATACGGTACCAGGAACCCTTAATCACAGGTTCCGGAAGGTACCCTTTAAAGTGTTTCCAAGGGATGAGGGGAAGCGAGGTTATGATGGCAATCGGTTTTTCCAAATATTCTGTTGCTGCTGTTTGCTTTGCTGACATGTACGCCTTGCCCCTTACACAAATTGCAAGTTCTGCAAGCCCGTTGTTTTGCTTAGACAGCGACAATGATGACACCACAGGAACCCAAGCTCATGAGTGAGAATCGTTGTTGCGTAACAAATATCACAGGTAGCCCGGACGTAGCGTGTGACAATATATTAATATTCACATAGACAAAATGGGATGAGTCGTCGAAACTCCCATGAACTAAAATAGTCCAAATGTCAAAATATAGCAAAACAAAGCTAATACACCTTTAACTGAACGTCTCCTTGTTAACCCCTTCAACCGAATCAGAGCACGCGTAGAGTACTATTCACTTTTCCCCTAAGCGGCCCTCTCTTATTAGCTACTATGAAGTCACATGTTTCCCGCCAAAAGTGTCAAAGCGGGCTAAAAAGGATCAGACGATAAACGTTTTATAGAAACATTTTAGATCTACTAATGTCCTATATAGCATAACACTTTGAGTTGGTTATTATTATCAAAAGGCTAGCGTATTTCATCGATAGTAATAAACGAAACAGAAGCCAAAGCATATAGTCATGTATACGGAAGAAAATTTGCTGCTGATTCGCCACTTGAGAAACGAGAGGGTAACTGGGACCGAAATGCGCCCGCAATTGTTTCTGGGATCGTTACTGGGGACGCGCAGGTCAGTCCCCAGTAACAGTCCCAGAGGTCTTTGCGACAAAGACTCGGCCTAGTTTCCTTCTCGTTTCTAAAGTGGCGCATGTCATGTGCGGTCGAAGAAAATTTGTAGCCGTCCCCAAATGGCAGCAAAGCCGTGTAACGCGGGATAAATGTCACGGTTGTACTGTTGCCAGGGAGAGGCATTGTTTTCCTACAAGGAACAGGCCGCCACAAAGAAAAAAAGCACGAAAGAAAATACCCGATTGTTTTACATCGACGCCTAGTCCATATTAAGATAAAATGCGGTCTCACATACTCCTTTTAGTCGGGTCAATCGTTTGTACAGATTCGCTTTGACAAGTCCAAAGGTCACGAGTTCGTAGAACAGCCTTAAAGTTTGGTCTTTATCCATTTTCACGTTGTTACACTGAAACGTGATTTCCACAGCATTGAAGAATTCGTAATAGGAACATTACATGTAAGTTGTGGCACCTATCTTCGATGGGCCAGAGTCCTATTCAAGTCCAAGAGGAGCGGCAATATCCTCTCCAATCCATCAAGCCAGGAGAGAGAAATGTTAAGCTTGACGTCAATAGATACAGTGTGGCATACAACTTGTTAAAATCGACATCTGATTAAACAGGGGTCATTTCCGCTTTAGGTCATTTCTCAATCGTTGCCAGACAACATTTCCAGTTCTAATGGCACAGTTCACATAACGACATACGACACTCTCAGTGCCGAGCGCGCATCACAAAGATACAGTGAAGCACAAAACAAGGGTCATTTCCGTTTTAGGTCATTTCTCAATCGTTGCCAGACAACAATTCCAGTTCTAATAGCACCGCTCGCATAACGACATACGACACTCTCAGTGCCTAGCGCGCATACGCTTCCAGCTGGCCATCCGCTGTGCACGTTGAACAGTACGGCTGAGCCTGAATTACGCAAGATTCCAACAGGTCAGAAGTCTAGCAGGCTTTTTGTGGACTGACACGAGAGGGATCCAGGCTTCCCACGCACTGAGTCTTCCTGCGCCCTATTGACAGTTTCCGAGAGGTCTGGGGGAAGGTGAAGTTTCTATGGAAACATGCCAAATCACCGCGTTAATATAGCTCTTAAAACTTAAGACTTGATGGTCTAACTACCATGTATTCGTCCTGCTGATAATAGCACCCTAAACAACTGTTCTCATTCATTTTTGACGCCAGAGACCTCCACTGTCTGGATTGATGATCTGGGCAAAAGTAGCCCTTAAAAGGACTGTCGTTGGTGACTAATATTTGAAGTATCAGTAGATTGTATATTACGATTTTATGGGCATGAATAGTCCCCAAAAGGACTATTAACGGTGACTTATGATTGATACAAAAAGTATCAGTGGTTTGCCTAGTGTCATTTAGCCGTTGTACAAAGCTCTCAGAGATTCAATTTCTAAGCCTAAGGGTATCGGTAGTTTGCCCAGTTTGATGGTCAAGGCATTAACAGCCCTCAAAAGGACTACTGGCCGTGACTGATCAGTGTTTGGTACCGGAGCGATCAGTTAGAGAGTCAGTCTAGTTCATCTAGCAGTTGTGTAATAGTCCTTAAAAGGACTGTTGTCAGTGACTGATCAGTGTTTGGTACCGGAAGGATCATTTAGAGAGTTTGCTTCGTTCATCTAGCAGTTGTGTAATAGTCCTTAAAAGGACTGTTGTCAGGAACTGATCGGTTTGTGCTACCGCAAGGATCAGTTAGAGAGTCTGTCTAGTTTTAACTAGCAGTTGTATCATACTCCTTACGAGGACAGTCTGTGATGGCTGAAGGTTGTTACCATAAGTATCAGTAGTTACTTGTCTTGTAGTAGTTTGATGATACCTGACGTTTGGTACCAGATCTTTCAGTAGTTTGTTTCGTATAATCTTTAGGTCGCGAGTAGCCGTTCCGCAAATGAAAGTTGCAAGGGATTGATGATAACAAGGCCCATTGACTGGTAGGACTAAGGGTTGATACTGTCTTAGAAAGTAATGCAATGTTTCTTCACCATCCGAGGGAATCTCTTCCTTTGATTGGGTCTTTAAAACGCATTTGAAGGCTCATTTCTGCGAGGTTCTACTAAAGAGGCACAGCATTCACCCAAAAGTTACTCCTCGCTAGCCCTCGAGTGAGGTAATTTAGCTCAAAGTACGTAAACATGGTCAAAGAGAGGACGCGGTTTACAGATCAAGCCCCTATTCGATTTATCACGATTCGCGATTCACGTCACACGATTCGCATGGAGACAAAAACACTTAATTTCAAGACTACTAAACCAGTTTTATAACTTGAGCGATAGGTCAGGGACTAAGCGATTGCAGATTTAATAACTAGATATACCATGCTATCGGGTGCCCTTCACTTTTAATCGCTATTTTAAGCGGCCAGTAAAATGAATGCCACAAATGATTGCAAAATAAAAACCCTAACTTTACCTCAATGCTCATCTTCTTCCTCCTCAGTTTGAAGGCGAGGTCGAATGAATCTGGCACGTGACTCACCAGAGAGTTTAACCGAGGAAGCCGAATGATGTGGAAAAGACCTAGCACCAAAATAAAAACAATGGAGTTATAACAACTCATCCCGTTACCGTTCTGCAAAACTGCAACATCTAAAACCTTAAGATCAACCGTTTCAGTTTACAGGTAAATTACCTGCCCCACCCGTTCTAGTAACTAGGGGTACATTGCCTCTTACCACGGAGAAGCGGCTTTGCCACCCGGTTGAACGATGATGGCATTGCGGCATCTGGGAAATAGAGCGTTTTCACATGACGTCACGGCGGCCATATTAGTGCTCCAAACCATTCCTGTGGGAGTTGAACTCTTTTCTTATGTAAACGCTTTCTTTTGTTCCAATAAATTTGCATAGATTCTGGACACGTGGGTGAAAACGCTCTATTGTTCTCTCCTTTCAAACAAATGCGTGGCGAACATTTTGCTTAACCGTCCCGTGGGCAAAAACGGTGTATCTGAAGGTTCCTAATGTGATGTAATAAAATATACATATTTACCATGGTAATGTTTGTAAACTGGGTTTGTTTCGTTTTCAGAGCCAACAAACGATTCCAACTTCACAACAGTGTCGCACAGCCTCTCAACACGCCGAGTCAGTGCTGTATCCTACAATACAAAACAGTGTATTGGAATGAATTTATATATCCAAACTACTCCTTCACTTAAGTTAATGTCCCGAAAACCGAAGGTTTTGTTCACACGACACCATCGGTGGTTCTCAAGGCAAAGTTACATCTACTACGAGATTGCTTTGGTTTCCCCGCGAAATTATGACGTCTGAGGAACGAGCATAGCAATTCCATACTGATGACTTGTCAATACTCAGGTCTGGATAGCGCTTCTGATTGGTTAAGGCCAGATTCCCACGCGGCACAACCAATCAGAAATATTTCCCAGATCTGCGTAGTGAACGTCATCAGAATGGAATTTCTGCGCTCGTTCCTCAGACTTGATTTCGAGGGAAAACCAGTGGTGGCTATAGTCATCATTAACATCAATCATCATCATTATCATCTTCATCACTCGTTTTGTCATTAGGGAGCTTAAGCAACCACGACGGCAACAGCAATGGCAGGAAAACGTCACCTAGAAAGCGAGTTCGCGCTGTTTCAAATTAGTGACGACGCGGACGGCAACAACAACGTCAAAAAACAATAGGTTTTATCAGCAAAACAACAACTTTGCACGTGCATCTCGCTTTTTTGTGTATTTCTTTGCCCGTTTTTGCACGACTACGACATGAAAATGCCTAATTTCGAGTTTTATGGAGTACGTAAACAAGCAACGACAAAATCTTATTTCTCTTTCTGAAGTTTGATATGGTCCCTAGGAATTCAACTCCAGGAGGGTTCGCCTACATTTGACAAAGTAAGTGGTTAGGAATAACTGCGACAAAGAATGAAAGAATGCAAATTCACTTTTCGAGCGACGTTCTCGTTGCCGTCATGTCGTCGTTGGATCGTAAAGTCCATACTTTATTACTCTTGTTCCGTTTTATAAAATTTGTTTTATGTTGGGAAATTCTTCTGGAGTTGATTCTAAAGGACGGTAGGCACAAAAAAAGGCTGTAACATTCTTAGCCTTTGTGGCCAAAAGGAAACTTGAAAGACCGCTACGTAGGCTATAAAATTCTCCCTTCAGACTTCTCTCTTTGGCTGCTGTTCTCCCAATGGCAGTGAACGGTTTTATCGATAAATACCCGTACCTTTAGATTCGAGGAAAAGGACGACTGCAAGGACCGGATTTGAACTAATAAAAAAAGCTTTCTTCACGTATTCTCCAAAAAAGCTTCATTTTGCTTTCTTTCTTTCGAAGGCGGTTAGCACCTTTTTCCATTGCAAAATGAAAAAAAACGTCTGACATTTGACCATTGGTTTCCGCCATTACGACATTATCGCTACAACTCGTAAGAATGACGACGGCTACCACATTTTCCCGCCAAAATGCCTCTGGTTCACGCACGCGCACCGCTATTATGTAAGTATTGAGTTAAGTATTGGGTAGATAATTTCGCCCACAGGGTCGTCTTCGTCAATAAGTCCTCTAATACTAAATTACCTGAAACAAGTGGGTCGGAACTGTAATGAAACAAACAGCCAAAGCTGAGCGCATCACTGCACGAAGCTGGAAAAGGAACCTGGACAAATAAGGACCATGCTGGTCTTCACCCCACAGTGCTGAACCAACTCCTTGGAGAACTACTCTCAGGATTGATCTGTTTTCAAGCTAAAAAAAGCAAAATATTAGCCGATTTACTCTGAAAACAACAATACCTCTAGATGCAAGCCAGTCAAAGCACAGGTAATCTTTATGCGTTAGTGTTAGTGCTAGTTATTTTTTCTTTTATCTTGAGTCTTTACATTCTAGTTTTTCCCGTCTAGTTTTTGTATTCTACATGGTTCGTATAACCATAAAAAGGTCTTGAATTTAAGTAGTCGTCTTGAAAAGTCCTGGATTTCAAGAAAAAGCCTTGAAAAGCAATTGAATCAGACCCACCGTTCAAGCGATTCAATCAATCAATCAATCAAGCTTTATTTTAATACGGTATTACTTCATTAAAAATGCTCTTCCAATGAGCCGTTTACGTAACAAAATTTTCAGAGAAACTACACTAATGCTAAAAAAATATCTATATATTAAGAAAATCTATCCTAGAATTAATTACACAAAACTCAATCAACCATTAATGTAGATTATATCACTAAAATAAGTTCTATCTCAACTCCCAAAAAGCAATCCCTTGTTCAAGGCAAAGACAGGGCAGACTTGAAAGAGTTGAGATTTATCTCGCCTTTAAGCACATTTTCTAGGCCATTCCACATGACTGACCCCAAAAGCTAAAAGCCCGCCTTGGTACAAAAACAATGTTCGGGGCACCTCGTGGAATGAACCCCGGACGTTGAAATTAATGACGTTCTTTAAACTCTTAAGGTAAAGGTTATTTAAAGATTTAAAAACACTTCTTGCGAGCTGTTAAAAGCGTCTTTGATCAAGGGTATCCCATCCCATATCTTGGAGGATACCAAACAATGGTCTACCGATCCAGTGATCTAGCCATCTACAGATCTATCGATCCACCGATCTACCGATCAACATATCCACTAATCTACCGATCTACAGATCTATCGTTCTAGCGCTCTATCGATCTATCGATCTACATATCCATCGATCTAGTGATCTACCGATCCACAGATCTACAGATTCATAGATTTAACGTTCAACCGATCCACGGATCTAGCTATCTACAGATCCACTGATCTAGCGATCTACCGATCCATCGATCTACAAATCCATCGATCTAGAGATCCACTGTTCTACCGATCTACAGATCCAACGTTCTATCCCTCTATCGATCCATCGATCTACATATCCATCGATCTAGTGATCTACCGATCCACAGATCCATAGATTTAGAGATTTACCGATACTCCGATCGGATGTCGGTCGTTTCGCCTACAAGTCGTTTCGCCTACAAGTCGATTCGCCTACACTGACGTCGATTCGCCTACATGATCTGAGTTGTTTCGCCTACACATTTATACAAGTGTAAGTTTACCTTGTGACCAACATCTTTATCTTACGATCTATCGATCGATCGTTGCGATCTATATCGCATCGTTCTCGTATTAACAAATGACTATAGTCGAAATGTATAGTCTGTAATCCTAAAATGAAACCCCAGAATTTCAAGTACCTTTGATGTAACAACAGTTTTTGTTTTATATTTTGAAGTATTCTGCTTTGAACGGGGTCCACAACAAATACAACACCGCAATATCTGAAAACGCCGCCATCTTGGTAGCACGTGCTCAAGCGATCTGCCTGTCCACCGACCTAGCGATCTACATATCTATCGACCCACCGATCTAACGATCTACAGATCTACCGATCTAGCGATCCACCAAACTAGCGATCTACAGATCTATCGATCGCCTATCTAGCGATCGACAGATCCACTGTTCTCGCGATCTACAGATCTATCGATCCACCGATCTAGTGATCTACAGATCCACAGTTCAAGCGTTCTAGCGATCCATCGATTTACCGATCCACTGATCTAGCGATCTACAGATCTATCGATCCACCGATCTACAGATCCACAGTTCAAGCAATCTACTGATCCATCGATCTACCGATCCACTGATCTAGCGATCTACCGATCCACCGATCTAGCGATCTACTGATCTACAGATCCACCGTTCAAGCGATCTAGCGATCCATCGATCTACCGATCTACTGTTCTAGCGATCTACAGATCCACCGATCGACAGATCCACTAATCTAGCGATCTACAGATCCACTGTTGTTGCATTCTATCCATCCTCGATCTACACATCCATCGCTCTAGTGATCTACCAATCTACAGATCTACAGATCCATAGATTTAGCGATCTACAGATCCACCGATCTAGCTATCTACAGATGCACTGATCTAGTGATCTACCGATTCATCGAACTACAGATCTATCGATCTATCGATCTACAGATCCATCGATCTACAGATCCACTGTTCTAACGATCCATCGACCTAGCGATCTGCCTGTCCACCGATCTGGCGATCTACAGATCTATCAACCCACCGATCTAACGACCTACAGATCCACCAATCTAGCGATCTACAGATATACTGATCTAGCGATCTACAGATCCACTGTTCTAGCGATCTACAAATCCATCGATCTAGCGATCTACAGATCCACTGTTCTAGCGATCCATCGATCTACCGGTCCTCCGATCAAGTGATCTACAGATCTATCGACCAACCGATCTAACGATCTACAGATCCATCGATCTAGCGATCTACAGATCCACCAATCTAGCGATCACCAGATCCAGTGTTCTAGCGATCCATCGATCACCGATCCACCGACCTAGTGATCTGCCTCTTCAAAGAACTAGCGATCTACACGGATCTAGCGATCCATTGATCTAGTGATCTACCGATCCACAGATCTACACAGCTATAGATTTAACGATCTACCGATCCACAGATCTAGCTATCTACAGATCCACTGATCTAGCGATATTCCGATCCATCGATTTCGCGATCTACAGATCCACTGTTCTAACGATCTGCCTGGTTACCGATCTAGCGATCTACAGATCTTTCGACCCACCGATCGAACGATCTACAGATTCACCGATCTAGCGATCTACCGATCCATGGATCTAGCCATCTACAGATCCACTGATCCAGCGATCTGCAGATCTATCCATCCACCGATCTAGCGATCTACAAATCTACCGTTCAAGCGATCTAGCGATCCATCGATCCACTGATCTAGTGATCTACAGATCTACCGATCCACCGATCTACAGATCTATCTACCCACTGATCCAACGATCTACAGATTCACCGATCTAGCGATCTAGCGATCCATTGATCTAGCGATCTACAGATCCAGCGTTCTAGCGCTCTATCGATCCATCGATCTAGTGATCTACCGATTCACAGATCTACATATCCATAGATTTAGCGATCTACCGATCTAGCTATCTACAGATCCACTGATCTAGCGATCTATCGATCCACCGATCTGGCGATCTACAGATCCACAGTTCAAGCGTTCTAGCGATCCATCGATCTACCGATCCACTGATCTAGCGGTCTACAGATCTATCGATCCACCGATCTAGCGATCTACTGATCTACAGATCCACCGTTCAAGCGATCTAGCGATCCATCGATCTATCGATCTACTGTTCTAGCGATCTACAGATCCACCGATCGACAGATCTACTAACCTAGCGATCTACAGATCCACTGTTCTTGCGTTCTATCGATCCTCGATCTACAGATCCATCGCTCTAGTGATCTACCAATCCACAGATCTACAGATCCATAGATTTAGCGATCTACTGATCCGCCGATCTAGCTATCTACAGATGCACTGATCTAGTGATTTACCGATTCATCATCATCTTTAATACAGCCACACTTTGATTATTGCAACATTGTTTGGGGAAACTGTGGGATAACTTTACAGAATAAGGTTCAAAAGCTACAAAACAGAGCAGCCCGTGTTTTGACCTACTCAAGCTATGACGTTGATACTGGTCACCTTTTCAAACTTCTAGGGTGGAAAAACCTGGCTTGCCAGCAACAAATTCAAAGAGCTACGATGGTTTACAGGTCTCTGCACTGGTTGGCTCCAAACTATCTTAGTTCTAAATTTGAAAGGCGAGAAGTCGCATACAACCTAAGGGACTCAGAAAATAAACGCAATGTTTCATTACCGCACACAAACTATTACAAAAACAGCTTCAGCTATAGTGGCGCCATTCTCTGGAACAGTCTTCCTTGTAACTTGAGGGAAGCAGAGTCCCTTGGGCAATTTAAACGATTAAACGATCTAGCGATCTACTGTTCTAGCGATCCATCGATCTACCGGTCCTCCGATCAAGTGATCTACAGATCTATCGACCAACCGATCTAACGATCTACAGATCCATCGATCTACCGATCCATCGATCTAGCGATCTACAGATCCACCAATCTAGCGATCACCAGATCCAGTGTTCTAGCGATCCATCGATCACCGATCCACCGACCTAGTGATCTGCCTCTTCAAAGGACTAGCGATCTACACGGATCTAGCGATCCATTGATCTAGCGATCTACAGATTTATCGATCTAGTGATCTACCGATCCACAGATCTACACAGCTATAGATTTAACGATCTACCGATCCACAGATCTAGCTATCTACAGATCCACTGATCCAGCGATCTTTCGATCTATCGATTTAGCGATCTACAGATCCACTGTTCTAGCGATCTGCCTGGTTACCGATCTATCGATCTACAGATCTTTCGACCCACCGATCGAACGATCTACAGATTCACCGATCTAGCGATCTACCGATCCATGGATCTAGCGATCTACAGATCCACCGATCCAGCGATCTGCAGATCTATCCATCCACCGATCTAGCGATCTACAAATCTACCGTTCACGCGATCTAGCGATTCATCGATCCACTGATCTAGTGATCTACAGATCTACCGATCCACCGATATAGCGATCGACAAATTCACTTATCTGGCGATCTAGAGATCCACCGTTCTAGTATCTCAGACCGCAAGTCATAGCCAGTGACTGTTATCATGTTGCAAAGTGGTGTTGTTACGGAAAGTAGTAAAACATAATGTGAGAGATGATCAAATATGGCTGAAGATGTAAAAAACGTAAATGACGCCATTGAGTGTTTTAGCCAGTAAGGTGTTTAAAAGGGGGTCAAAGAATGCCAATTTATTGAATAAATCTTAGACCTTGAAGCCTGTAATTTGTCCCTGAAAAGTCCTTGAATTTTGTTTCTCTGAAGTTGTACGAACCATGTTCTAGTTTGATGTTAGTTGTCACCCTATTTGCTAAATGTTTGTCACGTTATATATGTTGAAGTTAATTTTTTTTTCTCAGGTAATTTTTGTTTTTCTTTTGTTTTTTGGTATGGCAATGTACGCTAATCAAGTTGAAACAGAGGAAAAATAAAAATTACCTGACAGAAAAAATTAACTACAACATATAATCTGAAATAAAGTATTAAGCAAAAAAACCTACTCGAGGATTGAGCGGTTTCAAGCTTAAAAAAGCCAAATATTAGCCGATTTAAAACAACAATAGCTCTAAATGCAAGCCAGTTAAATTAATGTAATCACACAAGGTCACGAGACAACTGCTATTTGAAGTGCAAGGTACAATGTGTATTCTGTGGTTCAATTTTTTCTTTAGTTTAAAAATTTTCAAAGCAATTTAGTTTTGTTTAATTTCCTTTGTTTCAGATGATAAACATAATTTGAGACAGAAGGAACCAAAAATTAAACTCGTTTGAGAAATTTTAAACTAAGTAACAATATGTGAAACACAACATATGTAATTATTAGTAAAATATTAAAATTATCAACATCAATTTTCTGCTAACAATATCAATGCACAGTCAAAAGGACAGGTTATAAGAATTAATAAAATGATTATCTTAAGGAAAATGTTTAAATACCTTCAAATAATTCTTAAGAAAATGTATGGAGACCACTCTAGAGAGTTTGTATGTAGATCTCAGGGCTAAAAGGGTTAGATGTAAAATAATTATTTCAAGCTATATACCCCTTTATCTGATGTTGTGAATCCTCCATTCCTGATGATAGACTTTACTTTGGAGATCAGAGTGCTATATATACCGGCCTGAAGACTTGATCTAACAAATCAGAAGACCAATGGTTCATTCTTAGTCAAAAGAACCACCAAATTACCAATTTAATGAAAACAACATTACTGACATTCACGAACTTGAACAACGTTTAAACATTCAATTGGCAGCATCCTTTCCTTCTTTATACTTTTACTGCTGATCGTCTTAATACAAAAATGTACCATTTTGCCAAAAAACAAATTAAGAAGGTCCTCTATACATTCATTGAAATTCATAAATTTAATACTATTTACTGTAGACAACATTTCCGACAAACTTTCTGTCTTCAATTATAGTGTACATCTGTTTAAATTTCCACATGCCCTCCCTTCCTTTGCCAACTCGGATTAACTATGGCTGTAGACCTTGCTGACAAACTTTCCATGCATCTCTCGTGATGAAGATAACAATTATAGCCTATAAACATTTAACCTTTGTTTATATGGTGCTTACATGGGATACACAGAGCTGTCACTAGGAGATGGGGGCTGAGGAGTATCCTTGGCAATGACAAGCATGGACCCAGGCTCACAGATGTAACTACGATTTCAAGTTGCTGGGTAAATACAACATTTAGACGTATTTGGATCAGATGGCTGCAAAGTGTACAACCTCTAATTGGCTTTGTGTAAGTTTTAGCTCTTTATAGCACAACAGTGACCAGAAAACCACTGAACTTGCTTCAAAACACACTTCTGGCCTAAATTCTCAGGGGCAAATCGGTTAAGAACCAAATGGACTTCCTAATTTTTTAGCCGTTCAATTCCTCACGTACTAACTGCATGATACACTGAATGATTAAATTTAAATGACAGCCGTTGGTACAACTGTTCGGAGAATAATAATAAAATCAACAAAAAACTGTTAACATACCTTTTTTCTGCTGTAGAACATTCAAGACACTTTGACATTTCACTGTTTACACTGAACGTGTGAATGGGAACAGAGGAAACCTTCTGATCATCCATGGTTCTTGTCAAATCAAAGTAGTGCCCAAATTTCACAGAAGATGGTGAAGACTATTGTGACATAATTATATATTAAAAGAGTATTATTGAGGATAGAAATATACATCTGTAGGCCCAAGTACAGGTAGCAGGCAAGGAGTGACAACTAGAATAAGCCTTTATTAAAAAACACAGGGATATGCTGTATACAAAAACTAAAATATAAATTCTTGACCTTTTCTTTCCTGATAGTAACAAAAGAAAAAATTCAAGAAAAATCACAAAAAATGGTGAATAATAATTTATTATTAAGTTTAATACAGGAAGTAAAACCAATTTTTTGGTATTATACACAGGAAAAAATAACAGATTCCCAGTTTTGGATATTTTAGGGTATTTAAAGAATACCCATAAAAATCCCAAATTTGGCAAAGTGAGACAAGTCCCAACCAGGGAATTCCCAACCAAGTTTCCTGGTTGAGACTTGTCTCACTCTTCCAAATTTGGGATTTTTGTGGGTATTCTTTAAATACCCTAAAATATTCAAAAATGGGAATCTGTTATTTTTTCCTGTGATATCATGCCACCAGGAGGAATTTACATGTACTGCTGAAAGAATTAAATGTAATCATTACATTTATGAATCCTATGGTCTGACCATTCCTTTTGAATGGTGGCAGTATATGATTCCAATCAAATAAAAATTTAGAACTGTTACCATAGTCTTCATAATGAATATTGTACTGACAGGTTGGCATTACTATCATTTAGTTAACAAGTTATTTCTACAGCCAAACTCACTTCAAATTTGGGCTGATTTTGATATCTCCATGCAATCTTCATTGATTGATCTGTTGATGGTATCCTTTGTCCCTGTTCACTACTGACTGTTGTTTTGGTGTCTGCCTCATCTGTCTGTTGTGGAAGATCCTATTTTAAAAGGAAATAAAGAAAACCATATATTATTGTAATGAAGAATTCCTTGAAATGTTTGAGCAAAATACCTGCGTTTTCTTACATGAACTATATAGACAACCTTGAGACCATGGCACTCTAAAGAAAGACTGTATCCATACAATTTAAAATGCATGTGTTAAAGAAGATCCGATGCTATCCACTTGTGAGAGGTACAAAAATATTAATAAGGTATGGCTGCAGATGTACCATAATATTGCTTATATGCTATGGATGTACCTTCAAAATATTGCTTGGTTCTGGCTCAGCAGATGCAAGGAATAAGGCATGGCCGCATACAACTCCTTCAGCCAGAAAATACTTAGAAAGTTGCCTTGCATAAGAACTGTAAATATCTTCCTCTAAACAAGAAAACAGGAATTCATATAAATTTACATATAAAATTAAACTCGGCTGAAAATGACTGACTGAGCAATAATGACACTGACTGGTGTTTAGGACACCTGGCAAATAGGGCTTTTTGAGACAGTGAATGACATTTTAGCAACCTGCCAAGTAGCCAAGTGTACACCTATATTGTAAGTTGAATCTATAACAGGGTAAAAATGTGACCTCTCAACGCTAAAATGTTCCTTATGGCATGGTATGGTTTCTTAATAAGGGGTTTATAGGAAGGGTTGTTGCTAAGATTTCAAGCTGAAAAACAGGTAGAGACAATAAAACTGTCACTAGTAATATGGGCAGGGAATTGAACAGCTAGCAAGTTCAACTAGTTATTTGTAGCCTATGAAAGTGAAATCCCCAGTCCAGGCCTCTTTATGACAGCACTTGGTTCAGGAATTCTAGGCTTGACAAAAAAAAATTGGGGTACCATACAGGCATTTTCTAAGGTGATTTTGGGCATAGAAATATTTAATATGTAAGTTTTAAGTATAAAAAAGGCACCTACCAACCATGAAAATGGTTCCAATGGCAATCCCACCTCCTACAGAGGAATTTTTAAAATTTTCTAGTTAGCACTTGTATTAGCCTGCAAAAACAGTCATTTCTCCTTGCTCCTCGCCGCTGGGGACATTTCCCGAGGAGGAACGTCTTTGACTCAGCGACAGAAATTACATACTAATGACGTAAAATCTTTCCGAAATCCAGTCAAAAGCGCTAATCGGATGACGGAATTGTTACATTGTTTTAGCTATTGTTTACAAATGACAGACAAAAGACAAAAGGCTGCAAAGATCAAATGTAAACTAGGAGTATGCTAGTTTTAAAAATTGCCTTATTTTCTGCCATTTAATGAATTGTGCCTCATTTATACCAAAACCTGCGTGAGTAGTGTTTGTCTTAAACAGAGTCAGTGTTTAAAAACCTCAGCAGCACACCTCTAACCCTGACCTCTACCCAAACTTCCCTTGAGTGCCACCCGGGGGTACTCCCCTTGTGGATTAATGAATTACCGTAAAATTCTGAAAATAAGCCCCAGGGCTTATATTTTTCAAAGGCCCTTTTTGAGGGGTTTATCTTTGGAGGGGCTTATATTCAGAGGGGCTTATCTACGGAGGGAAATTTGGGTTTCAAAATCGATTGAGCTAGCCTTGTAGTTGGATGGAAATTGACCGTTTTTGCTTTGTTTTACTTTGTATTTGAGGGCAATTTCCAAGTACAAGCCCCCAAGGGACTTATATTTCGAGGGGCGATTTAATGGAGGGTTTTTTCCTTTACGAGTTTGGGGGGATATTTGGAGGGGCTCATACATGGAGGGGCTTATTTTCGGAATTTTACAGTATGACACCAAAGGTCTGCACCAGGAGTGGGGTATTTGTCGTAATCGAATTCAGGTTTTCTTCTTGATACTCTTAAAGAAGTAAACGGATTGGAATGAAAGGAAGACACAAACAAACCAAACCAATGTAAAGTCTAATATGCAAGACCATTGTTGAACATTTGAGATGGAGACCCAAAAATTGTGGGATGGGCATGTGCAATGGATGACTTCGGGAAGCACTGCTATAAAATCTAAAGATAAATTGTCACTGGTTTTAAGGTAAAGGTAAAGGTGCACACGAGCCAAAGGCCCAAATGGCCGGAGCTTATCCTGGTTTCATATGAAGCACCTAGGAGTACTGCTACTCCCCCCTAGATGGAATTCTACTCCACAACAGGGTTACCCCCCAGCAGTATGTCGCCAGTGCCCATTTATACACCTGCGTGAAGAGAGACAAAGTGGAGTAAAGTTCCTTGTCTAAGGAAACAACGACACCTTTTGAGGCTTGAACACATGCCAGGGCCTCCAGATCCAGAGTTCGAGGATCACACCACTCTGCCACACAGGCCTCCACTCAGTTACCCAGAATGTTCCAAAATTGCCGGCAAAGCGTCAATAAACGTTCGTTTTCTCATGGAACAGTCTGTACCAAGAAGTTCAAACAACTTTTGGGGGACCCCCTTTCTTGAAAAAGGGCCTCCTAATTTGACCCTCACTGGCCAATTTCTAGAATACACCCTGGTAAACTGCCTATAATATACAAATTTCGAGAAGTACGAGGGCTATTCCGCTAAAAAAGTATCACGAATGAGTAAAGAGGGACTTTTTTATATCTTCTTGATGTTAATTTTTAGCGCAGCTAGTGAGTTGAAAAGAGGTCAAGAAGATACGAGTCTACTTTCAAGTAATAAACTCACCAACCACATTATCCATGGAAGGTACTCCAGAAGATATCAACAGCTGACTATTATGCAGTGACGGCCTTGTTCCAGGAGGATAAACAGCGCGACCACGGGACCCCTTCTTCTTGAAACTGGTCGCCATCTTGATTTTTTTTTTTGTAAAGGATCGTGTTTATTATATGATGTACTCTATTCTTCTGAGAACACCGCGGACCCAACCGCGGACCACTTAAGAGAGAACAACGCATCGGAGGGAGGGACGGGGGAACAGTGCAAGGGAAAATTTTATTTGCTTGTTTGTAAAATAAGCCCCAAAAATACCGGCCGAGGTTTGCCTACTTCTTGCCTTAATCTCAGATAATTCCTGACAAAATGTCAGTTTAAAGAAAAGCTCCAACATAACTATTCTCTCTATCTGTTTTCAATACACTCCTGCCCGAGAAATGGTATGACGTAATGAGCATTTCCCGCCAAACTCTTTTACAGCAACAACCAATACCAGTAGTTGTTAGAAATCATTGCGAAAGAACTCGTCTTCGCGTCAGCCAATAGTTGTGCTCGTAAGATTCTAACATTTTACAGACGGGTGAGCTGGGGTCTAGGTAACACTTCGCCGTGGTCACGTCTGTTTGTGCGGAAAGAACTTGGTCGATTTTTGCCTAAGTTGTAAAGTTTTTCCTATTTGACTTGGTATTTTATGAAGCCAAGACTATGAGTGCTAATGGAGCACCATATTCATACTCCAACCATACTCTCGAGAAAGTGGCGAAAGCCAAAGCGACGCTTGAAAGCTTCTACGCCAACCTCATCACACAGCACCAAGAAAGAAAAAACAGGTTTGCACTTCCAAAACAACGTTAACAGTTCCTGTTCTAATCTCCTCGTTTTTTGTATTACCTTCGAGAAGAGATATGTTTTGGTTGCTCAGATATAGAAGTCATTTTTACGAGAGACGTGTAGAATGTTGCTCACTTGAAGGTTTAACCTTAATTGCATGCACGATATTTTCGTTACAGATGGAAAGTTTTGGAGATGAATATGCAACAACAAGGTTTAACGGAAGAAGAGGTTTGTACGTGCTTCCTCAGCTACTTTTTCAAAATTTATCCACTGATACTTTTTTCATACTTGTTTAAAGCTAACAAACTGCTTTAAACTTGAGGCTTTTTAAGCTTTTATCCGAAGACATCGTGAATATAATAATCAGACTCGAGAGCATCAATTCAATGTTGTCTTTTATACTTGAAAATCGTTACCTTAAAAAGAACTGTTTTCTGGCGAATGATTGCTTAATTAAATCCCGTTGACGGGACAGTACATTTTCTCAATCAACAATGAATTCAACCCCTTAAAATCCAAGTATTTAATAGAAAATGTCCTTAAATGGTTTTCGAACTAAACATGTTGAAAGCTTTAAGTGGTTTTCGAATGTAAATTTTGCTGTATTCCACTTATCATTGTAAATTCAAAATTTAATGTTGTTATGTGTTTACATTTTTGTTACGTTAATTCAGTCCCGATACAAATATCTCCTAGTTTTAAAGACGATTAAAGATATTGTACCATTCATCTTGGAATAACATTTCAACCGTATAAATAATGTCGCACTATTTTTTCCAATAGCAGAGAACTATTCTCAACATTTTACATAACAACCTTTCTTGTCAAAGTTATTTTCCATAACAATTATATGACACAGCATGAATGGTCTTAGCTGGTGGAAAAATGAAGCAGTTTACACTCTAAAAAAACAAGTTGTTTTGTTACTAATTTGTCAGTTTGCCGTACAAACTCTTGAAATGTAGACTTGTCACAACAATATTTTTTGTTTCAGATTATTTGTTCAAAACTCCTATGTTTCTCTACCACTTTTCTAAAATAATATTATTCAGACAAATGTTAATAAGCATGCTGTATTGTAAAACAAAAGAAGTTTGAATTTTTTTTCTTGTTGTTACATTGTCCCAACATCATGATGCAAATAAGTGAATTTTGTAAGGAGATTAATGAGGATCATTTTCACTAAGTAGATTTTGCATTTGTTGTCCCCCAAGAAAATCATTGTTTCTTTCTAATTAATTGATCCCTATTAATAAATAAGTTTAGGTCGGTGAAGCTCAATCTGAATAGATTCCAAGTGTGACACTAAACCACATATGGAACAAAAAACAATAGGAAGAAAGCTGAAGTTTTATTTGAAGGTTTCTAACCCTTTTCTGATATTATCAGACTGCAGAAGAATCAGTACACAGCAAGGGTCCCTCGAACAGCTGATGATAAATCTTTAATTAAAATATCTCCTTACTTGCAAAATGTTAGTGAATGCCTGTTCTTTGGTCTCAGAGCCTTATATTTTGAGCAATTTCCTTCACCTTCAATTTGATGTTGTCATAAAATATTTCTTGAAGTATTGGCCATGATTTTTTACTTGACCCTTTTATAGCCCTAATATCAACATGAAATTCTCTGCACTGTACTCTGCACATTTTCTGAATTTGGTACAGTTGTACAAATCATACATTTTTGTCAAAAATCAAGAACCCCTTTATTCTTCTTACCATCATTTTCAATGAAGCAATGATGTTATCAGTATTATCTTCTCTCCATATCCCTAAAATTGTCCAATTCAAGACCCCATTGTTCTTCTTGTTACTGACATTGACTGACGTTTCGACAACCTGTGCAATAGTCATCTTCAGAGTCAAAGATAATGACTGTGACTCTGAAGATTGACCACCACACGGGTTGTCAAAATGTCCGACATTGTCAACAACAGTCCTACTCAGGACTATGTTTTATACCCAGATGATCATGCTCAACCTACTTAAGAAAATAATGAATCCTGGGTTGAAACCTTTCACAGAGATAGGTACTGATAACTGCTAGTGCTTTAAAACTTTCAAATACAGAATGTCTCACTCTTGTGAAGAAATATGCTGCATGGTCTCACAAGATTTGCTTGCTGGGAAAGTAACTTTTTAAGCTTGCTTGTCCAAAGGATAAGAATCTAGGCAAGAAATCATTAACTAACACAAGCAAGCAATGGCTTAGGGCAAGCAAAATATGAGACCTACTTGTCTAAAGTACAGGCTGGAATTCCAGAACCTTCAAAACTAAGAGAACAGAGAAAAAAAACACCATCTAATCCTACTTTTGTTGTCTTATACAATTGCACCCAGTACCCTAAAAATGTTGTGTCTTTGCTTACTCTTATTGATCATGGAATAAACACATGTAGATACCTGTTATTAACAGACAAAGATGTATTTTCTTGTTCATAGAAAAAAGAGTCAAGAAGCCACCTTGCAAAGAAAGAAACAGAATTTCTAAGACTTAGACGATCCAGGATTGGGAAGGAAGATTTTGATTCTTTGAAAGTTGTAGGAAGAGGAGCTTTTGGTGAGGTAAGTAAGTGGGCTGTATGTGAAAAAAAAATCTGGGAAAAAAGTTAAAACACTTTAGTTCACATTTATAATGGATAAAAGAAATTTGCCAGTCACTCTTTCTCATAACAAAAAAACCTTAAGCTTTTCTTTAAGGAGAGGCTGGGTTATCCATTAATTTGGGGACCAAAGTCCGCCAACACTCTTGAGACCCAAATATTTTTAAAAAGACATGTGGGTCCTAGGATCCACGTTTAAAATTGTAAGTAATAATTGTCATCAGTAATAATTCAAACCAAAGTTTTTTACTCTCATTTGAGTATCTATTTTGTGAGGTTTGTGTTGCCACTAATAAAATACAAGAGGGCACAAGACATGTTGATTCAATGAGAAGTTGTTTCGTCTTAGAGTAGATAATGTATTACATGGCAAATAATGGCAGGGAAGCCTCAACAGCTGTGGGCCAAAGTTATGGTGATCACCATACAACCGTCATGATTAATATCACAAATTATTTGCTCCTTCTCTTCTCAGTGAGCCTGCTAGATGTGGATGCAGCAGCTATAACCATAACCCTTAGCAGCATAATGTTATCTATGGTGCGCTTCAGTTCAAAAAGGCCCATATTATAATAGGGTTATCAGCCACTGTGTATGAAATTTTGGATCTTGTCTTAAATCCTTTTATGTTGCCAATTGCAACTTGGAGCACCAGGGATACAGCTTTTGTTGCAAGGCTTTTCTGGAATACACTGATTGAATATACATTCTTCAATATTAAATTTCCTTTTAGGTGCGTTTAGTTCAAAAACATGACACAGGCCATGTCTATGCTATGAAGATCCTGAGAAAAGCAGACATGCTGGAAAAGGAACAGGTGAAATAGCTGAAAATATTCATTTATTTATTTAACATCTTTTTTTCTGGTGCACATATTCACGGATTCTTTGTTTTTGTTGGTTGTGAACCTAAGGGCTAGACCAGCACCCAAAAACAGTACTTTTCTTTGTAAACTATGTTAGAGGAAGCAAATGCATGTATTGCCTAGAAATTTATGTAATAATTAGGAAAGGCTTAAATTGTCATTATGCAGGTTCTCAGGTTCTCTTTGTTTTCAGAGTTTTTCTATTAATGTCATATAAGTTTTTGAAGTTGTTCTTTTTTTTTTCTGCATTTTACTCCCTACAGCCCCCCGAAATGTTTTCACATTTTATTTACTTATTTATTTTTATGAAAAGGTCTCACAAAATTACTCAATTTCTTAAACCGTTAAAACAATAAATATAGTATCTAAGGTTTGTGGGAAAGCAATAAGTACAAATATGAAAAGGCTATATTTGCCCTGAAAAACAGCGTTTAAATTACATTTGTGGGTAAACTAGTTGAAACACTTGGGAGAAAGTTGGTATGTTCATGTTTTTTAAATTTTATTTTTCTCTTTACAGGTTGCCCATGCTCGTGCTGAGCGAGATATTCTAGCTGAAGCAGAAAATCCATGGGTGGTGAAGATGTACTACTCCTTTCAGGATGGGCAGTATCTTTATTTAGTCATGGAGTTTCTTCCCGGTGGTAAGTTTTATTAGCTAGTTTACGCTGTATAAAACAACACTACAGAATTAAACAAAAAATAAATGTTATTCAGGGGAATATTAATCATGGTGGAAAAAGTGAATAATAAAACTGGTAGATTATAGACAACAAAAAAATTGAAACTGAATTTTAAATTACAGGTGATCTTATGACAATGCTTATGAAGAAGGACACATTCACAGATGATGAGACAAGGTTTTACATTGCTGAATCAGTTCTTGCAATTGACTCCATCCACCAAGTTGGATTTATTCATAGGTGGGATATTGATTTGTAATTTTATAGGTAGCTTAAGCAAAGGTTTTTGGTTTTTTGATGCTTCCAAATTCTTTGCTATGCTATGTTTCTTCACACTGTGGTATAGAGACAATCTGCCCAAAAATGGGTCAAAACCACTACCCAAGAATGAAATTTTGTTCTTCCTTCCTTAGGTGACTACATTGTACTGGTAATGTTGCATGTATTGTAAGCTTATGTTATTCTACGGATTTAGTTTTAGAAAAGACTCTTTATTTCTCTACAGGGATATCAAGCCAGATAATTTACTTTTGGATAGCAAAGTATGTGATTAAGTTTTTTTTTGGTTGTGTTTTGTTTTGTTTTAATTTTGTTTTAATGTGCTTTGGTGAATAAAATAGATTAATATTGATTTGAAATGAATGAATTGATAAATACCTAAAACCAAATTTAACCTATATTATTTCAACCTATCTTCGGTCCCCAGCTCTCTTGTTTAACTTTTTGTTCTTGTTGTTCTTGTTGTTCTTGTTGTTCTTGTTGTTTTGGCTTCTGAAGAACTTCCTCTTGGGTGAAGATGACGTACTTAGTCATGCATGTTTAAAGCCTGTACACAGCTAAAATTTGTTACTCATCTCTGTGACTGTGACAGAGATTTCATTTTAAGACCTGTGCTCCTTTTAATTAATGTGCATGATAATTAAGTTTGTTTTTGCGTGTTGGCCCTTCTCTAGGTCTTTTTCCAAATTCCATCATTAGCTAAGGGATGTAGGAGATGTGTCACTTGGACATGCTACCACTATTAAAATAATCAAAATCATTTTTTATATCACATATGTTTAAGTCTCTATGACGTTAAAAAATAATATTGTAATAATAAAAATAATAATACAAATGATGATGATGATGATGATGATGATGATGATGATGATTATAACAGTAATTATTATTTTTAAATAAATATTGATTTCTATTGTTCTTCGTTTGTAGGGTCACATCAAATTAGCAGATTTTGGTCTTTGCACAGGCCTCAAGAAAGCACACAGAACAGAATTTTACAGAGAAATATCACCTAGTGATATGAAGGATTTCAGTAAGAAAAATACATTCTGAGAGAATTCCAGGCAGAAGCGACATGGTGATTGGCGCAGTCAGGGTTTCACACCATGTGTACTATACTGTTTGACCAGGAATCATGCACTTCTGCATTGTGGAATTAAATTTTAGTCAGATACTTTAATAATAATATTGAGGAAACAGCAGTGTTCCAGCCAGAGTGCGCCATTGCGTGAATCCCGCAAAAGATCGAGAGATGGCCCCCTCCAAAAGCGTTCAAGGGCCATTATGGCCCTTTCCTTTTTTAATTGCCTGGGCTTAAAAATTAATGGTCTCTGTTACTTCAACTACAATAATTTTCCAATTAAACAGAATTTTTAATCTTAAGAACAACGACTCCATACCTTTGTACACAACATGAAAATCAATCGATGAATCTTCTTGAGTTTACCTGATTTACCGTGAGTGGTCTGGAGACCACTAAGCCTCGACTTGGCTTTTGTAATATCGCAGAAGCTTATGGGTATCCATCATGGCCTCTTGAAAAAGGATAAACCTGACAAACGCATCTTTGAGGTCTATCATGCAAAAGTTTTTTCTCAGAAGTAACGAAAAAGTGGATGGAGACGAAGCAGTTCAGAATAAGCGAATGAAAGCAGATAAGCTTCAGATAAACTGCCATTTTCATTTCCTTAACTTTCCAACTGCTTCTTCTCTTTTGCATATTAGAGAGATACTGGTACATTGGCCCTTTCTTGAAATATCTGGCCCCCAAAAGTGGGTTGTAGGGGCCGCTTTGGCCCTCAAGCACAATTTTCTGGCTGGAGCACTGAACAGTAAAGGAATAAATGATACAAATGTGTTAATAATGTTAGTTTGACTGTCTCTAATAAGAGTAATGATGCACTTCCCTTAATTACGAGCCTTAAAAGACCTTTGATACAGTTCTACTTTGTGGAAGTCAGTAAGTTTAAAAATTAGACAGTAATAATATGAGGAAACAGTATAAAGGAAGTAATAATACTCAGGGTTGTCACTAAGATTTCAAGTTGCCGGGTAAATAGGCGGGGAATCAAACGGCTAGGGATTTCTTTTGGTTCCATTTTCCTTCTATTTTCCAGTAAAAGTAGCCGGGGAAAATCCCCGCCCCCTGGCTCTTAATGACAACCCTGAATACTGTAAGTTAATTTCACTGCATTTCTCTATTCTTTCCCTCTCAGCATCTGCTCAACCATTAGATACAAAAGGGAGAGCAGCAACATGGAAAAAGAACAGACGACAGTTGGTAAGTTAAAAGAAGACTAGGGTTCACTGATATGCTGGTAATTTATATCTGAAGTGTGTTTACCATCATTGGTTTGCAGATTTTTAGATTTATTCATGACTATTCATAGTGACTGTTGCTTTTCTTGTCTCACTGTAGGCCTACTCCACTGTGGGAACACCAGACTATATCGCTCCAGAAGTGTTTCACCAAACTGGTTATAATAAGAGCTGTGACTGGTGGTCACTGGGAGTTATCATGTATGAAATGCTTATAGGTATGCAACAGCAAGGCCATGGAATATTCACTTACTGCCTACCTATTAATTATGGAACTCTGATAGGGTAAAATTCTGACTTACAACATGGCCTTGAGTCAGAGATGAAATGGCAGCAAACAACATAAAGATGAGTTAATACACCAAAGAGTCACATCCTACTCTTCAAAATATGAAACGGCCACATCTGAAATTCAGAACAGGGACTTACGTACCTGTGAATGTGTGTTTTCTGAATTCTTTAGTCTTATGGTATGTAGTGTCTACACCAATTCAATGAGAATTGATCATCTCTAATTTTTTTTCTTTCCAGGTTATCCACCATTTTGCTCAGAAAGTCCTCAAGGTGATTTCACAGAGAACCAATAGTATTTTTTAGAGTGTTCACCACTTTACAGCCCTTGTAATCCCAGAAATATTTGCTATAATTGGAATTATAGTTAAAACAATGACCTGACGGTAAATTTCCCTTATGCCATATGTTTGTTTTGTTTTCCAGAAACGTACAAAAAAATAATGAACTGGAGAGAAACGTTAATCTTTCCTCCTGAGATGCCAATTTCAGATATTGCAAGAGACCTAATTCAGAGGTGAAGGAAATAACTCACTACATACAAATCATTAGTAATGGTAATAGGACTGAGTGGAGTCCAATCAGTCTGTAATCTTACGGGTGATTTAACAAAACTGGACGACCTTGTAGTGGGAGTCCAGTTGGTATGGTCCAGACCGAATTGGACGACACAAAGTTCTGTTACGAATTAATCATAACTATTACAGAATTTGTGAGATTTCAGGTTTTTTTAAAAATTAAAACTCAGGAAATTCCACAAGTTTTTGCCAGTGAAAAAAACAAAAGCCTTTTAAGTGTTCACATGGTGGTGCATACTGTCCCATTACTAATAGGACAGTATATCATATGCAGCATCACAAGCGCGCCCTTAATTAGTTTTTTTTTTTTTTTTTTCACTGCTAGCAAAAAAACTCTCGGAATTCCTTCTGTTTTAAGTTTAAAGAAAGTCTAAAATATTACAATTTTTGTTGTAGTTATGATTAATTGGTAAAAGAACTTTGTGTCGTCCAATTCGGTCTGTAAAAATCATACTGTCTCGTGACTAAACAAATGGGACTCCTATTACCATTATTAATATTCATGAATGTCAATACACCATTCATTGTTATTAATTTATGAATCAAATTTTTCATCTCAGTCAAATATGTCTTAAGTTTTCACAGTCTTAATAAATACTATAAATTAATTATGAGAGTACCTATTCATTTCCTGTCATTGGAGAAATTAAAGGCTTGTGACATAACCCTAGTCAATTAGCAACAAGGTGTGCTATAAATTATTATGTGATAGAGGTGCTGCCGTTCTTAGCTGTCTCAACATTTAAAGACATAATTAAACCATGATAAGGGCCTTTGTTTTGACTTCACTGGTACCTTCAAATAACATTGGTAATCATTTTCAAATAATTTCATCTTTTAGATGGTGCTGTGATGCAGATAAAAGACTTAATAGCATTGATGAAATCAAGGCTCATCCATTCTTCAATGGTGTGGATTGGCAAAACATAAGGTATAAAAGATCAGTATTTTTATTTTTTTTCTCTATACCAAATTCATTTTCAAAGAGTTATGTCAATATTTTTCTCCCATTTCCTTTTTGTCCAACAACAATGTTTCCTGTCAATGAATAGTTAGTACCACCAGCAGATACTGAAAACCTTGTGTAGCCCATACTCTCAATCTTGTAGGCTGTCTGTCGAGTGGGTATTTTTGATGATTTGACACTCCTGGAGCTCTTAGTGATCAACAGTGGTGGATTGATTGACTTTTTTTACAAATACTAGAAAATAAATTATAATACCATGCACAAGTTGAATTCACAAATATCCAGCCAGCAGATAGATCCTGAATTCAAGTCCCACTCTGACCTGAGTAGTTGTCTGTCTTTTCAACTCCTTGGTTGGTCGGGTTTCAATGAACGCCAACGACCGACGAAACGTGTCTGTTACTTTGCTCAAAGAAGTTGGCTACTTTTTCCCCGAAAGAAGAAGTAGCTAGTATTAATATCTCAACAATGTTGTAAAAAGTATATCATAAAATCTGAATAAAAACATTAAAGCCCAGTGGTTATTTGTTATTCTTTAGTTATGCAAATGCTGTGTTTCAGTCTGACTCAATTTTTCACACGCTTCTTTTTAGGTTTAAGCAGAATTTGTTCACATGCAAATGTACATGATTTTGATTACCGTCATTTGTTCGGCATCACTCGCAAGAGTTGATTGTGTGGCTGATAAATCGAAACTAATGAATGAAAGCTACATTTTTTCTATGAAAGACCCTCTTGTTTGTACTCATTTTTGTCCTCAGAACACTGGAGAACACATTTTAGGGCTTTGAAAGTTCAAAATTTTTCTGAGGGAGCATGCCCCCAGACCACGCTATAAGAAGGGGACTAACAGCCCCTTGTTGATACACTCAGTTTCTCTATTCAAATCTGGTGGTTACTTCAATTAATATTGAAACCCCGGGTTGGTCAGGCTTGGAAATGGCCAAGTGGTTTGTCTCCTGCTAGCTGGGATTCTTTTGATTGTGATTGTTTTATTAAAATTAGCTGCCCAATGGTGTCTTAATTCCAGCTGGGTAACGAGAAATATTTATGCCAAATCTATGCAATCTTCAGTTGCTAATTATAAACAGATCATACCTATACTGTTGTTTTCTTCATATTTAGGGAAAGACCCGCTGCCATTCCAATTCATGTCAAATCCATTGATGACACTTCAAATTTTGATGACTTTCCAGAATCAGAATTTGAATCGAGTAAGTTCTAATAAAAAATAACATATTATAGATAAAGACTACACCTTGCCCAACAGCAAGTTCCAACAAGGCATTGCATTCTAACTGCTGTTCCTCAATACTGAGGGTACATGTGGTCATGCGCACAGGCACACCCCTTATGCAAGGGTATGAGTGGGGACTGGGTTGAGTTGTGAGCAGTGGGGGTGGTTTTGGTTGGTAATGGTAGGGGAGGGTACTGCAAAAAAGGCATTCCTCATGCAGACGTTGGCATCTGTGTTGTTTTGCTTTATGTAGAGAAGAAAAGTTGTTTATGTCGCTTTGCCTTGCTAGCAAAATTCCTGGATCTCAATAAACCGTGGTCCTGCAAATGTGGCAGAAAAAAGTGAAAAAAATTGACATGTATGACTTTCCTGTGCCCGATTGAACTCAGAAACAAAACAGTAGCCCATCGTAGCCCATACAGTCTGTACCTTTCTTGCAGCATTAAATTAAATTTTGACGATGTAAATGCTGTCTCTGTCAAGAAAGATTATTGTGATCCAGAAATCTTGCTACCATGTTATACCTGGCATCACATTTCTCCTCTCTATTATTGTACACACATCACAAGAAGTATCGTAACTTGTAACAAGGAAATAATTGTTATGTCCAATAGACCTTTTTACCAATACGGCGGCCATATTGAATTTATTATATTTTAGGAGTATTATGGGATGCCCAGGGGGCACTCGCTCAGTATTTACGCAGGCTTTTTGGGCAAAATGAGAACTTCAGTGATTGTTTATCGGCAAAAAGGTGATCATTATTACATCCAAACACGGCACAACAATCTTTTTTTCCCATTACAATCTTTTTCTAGGAAAACTTAAAGAAAAAGTGGCCCGAAAAGCGCATAAATACTGATGCGAGTATATCGGATCGTGCTCATGCCCCCTAAGCATCCCATAATACTGCTTCAATCCAAGTAATTCAATATGGCCGCCGTATTGGTAAAAGGGTCTATTACTTAGCGACTTAACATTTTCTTTTTTGTTTTGTTGTAGATTGGTTTAGGGACCCAAAATCTGACACAGCTGGAGGAAAAGATTGGGTTTTTCTGAATTACACATTTAAACGTTTTGAAGGACTCACACAACGAGGGGTTAAAGTTCCACTCCTTTAAACCAGTCAATTCAAAGAAATATTTTCCTATCATTTTTACATGTTAGCTGCAAGCAACCCCTTCATCTTCCTCATTTTTGAGTAGGAGAGTGAAGGAAAGGTGTGTAAATATAGTTCAACTCTGATTTTTTTGTCAGACAACAAACCTGCTCTTATAAAAAAGGAAATTTATGTTGTAAGAGATGAACTTTGTACTAAGAAATTGAAGATGTTATTATACGTGATACTTTGTTACACAAAATTTTGGTGACATGCTAACATGGCAATTTTTAAAATTCCAATGTAACAGTTTATCAGCACTTTAAGCTATTTTTCAACACAGTTCCATTAACGTTTGTAACTTCACCAACTTAAAAACGCTTTAATAGACAAAATAACTTCTCTGTGGTGGGTTACAAATGTGTTAACCATGCTGCATTTAGCCCTATATGTGCTATGAACCATTAGACTAAAATTTAACAATTAATTCTTCATAAACAGAAATGAAAAAAATTAGTGTTAGTCTTGACAGAATTCACGTCAAGCTTGATAGCTGTACAGTATAGATGTAATGTTGAACAGTTCGATTACACATAGACAGAATGATTTACCTTGAAATTTTTTATGGGCTCCACAGGAACCTATACAATAATAATTATTTGAATAGAGTACATAATGGGGTTAGTATGTTAGCATTAATATAATACTAAGCGATGATTATTTTTTCTGAATTTGCTGTCTATACTGGTGTTGCCAAAATTGTGTGTAATGAGGCAGTTTAAAGGCCAAATACCCAAGTTAGCTTTTCCGTTTTGAGAAGTTAATACATGTATGCACTTGAGGATTCAAAGTTTTTCATAAATATATCCCAGGGTTTTGTCATCATGGGGTATTTTTGTCTTGTGAGGTGTACTCAAAAATTATGTCATTAATTAAGTTCAGAGGGATACAGTGTAACTGTGATAGGGTGATTTTAGCATTAATTTTTCTATCTGAAGTCATTGAATAATAGTTGTGTATTTTGTAATTATTTAAATAAGTACAGTAAATATTGATACTGTTAAGTCTGCTGGTAAATCTGTTTTAATAAGTTTTCCAAACAGGCTCAAGATTTGTAATGTTCATATTGGATCAAAGAAACTAAGACTGACTGTAAAGTAGAAGTAAGATTTAATATTTCCTGAAGTAAACACAAGTCATACTGTATTTCCATTATAATATGTTTGAAAATGACACATTCAGCTAAGGTTAAGACAGTAAACTTTATGCGTAAACTAAATGCAAAAAAAGTGTCGTAGATTATTTTACACCAAAGAACAGGGATTTATACTTAAAAAGAATTTTCACATTACTGTTGGGTAAGATTTTCTGTGTATTGTTTGTAACAACTTAATAATCAATAGCTGTAGCTGCTGCATTATTGAAAATTATCTTTGTATTATTGTAGTCCGAATAATTCATAGTTTTGCATTCATACTGGGAGAGGCACACAGGGATTACAGTGACAAGGAGAGTAGTGCAACTCTTATGTAGCATTCTTTGTGTCAAGGGGAGTTTTCAAAAAACACAACGAATTGCTGCATGGGAGGCAGAAGGGGAGCTGCAAAGAACGCTTTCAGTTCTGAGATTTACGATCCAATGATTTAACTTTATTAGGGGTGACCTTACTTAACACACCTCAACGCAATTATGCAAAATACACCCTTTCCTAGATGGGTGTTCATCATGCTTTATTCGTCCAGTTGTACATAATGGGAAATACGTTATATTATTTCTTACATATAGAATCACAGGTACCACAATCATTTTGTAAATAGACAACAATATTACTAAGCAACATTCATCTATTTCAGTAGTCTGAATTGTCAGCTGTCTCCACCCCTCCCCCCCCATGCCCCCCACAGGATAGGGGGTGGAGACGGCTGACATTTCAGACCATCATTTCAGCAGCTCTGCAGATCCTAATCACTGACACCGTACATTTCTGTGAAATGTTATTACTGGTAACCCTTGATTGAACCTCGCTAACCCTAGAAGACTATGCACTTTCACAGCTTTTATTCCCTTAAAACTCTGTTTTTAACTCGCATGTTCTTTACACAATCATGCTCCATACATTTTTAATGGTGTCATACTGAGGAAAATTTGTTTGTACAAGGAATTTAAGACATTCGTAACCTAATCTCCTTTAACTCATGAGCTTTGCAGCTGATTTATTAGTGATATTGTTGGAAGAAAAATAGATGCTGGTCATTGTTAAGGGTTTACAGGATTAACAAAGGTCTCTTGGCAAATTAATGGGGTAGGGATGAAACATTTTGAAATAATGAGCTGATAGAGATCGCCATTAAATGCCTTTGATTTTACATTGCTAGTTGATCAAGAAGTGCTAATTGACAATACAGTTTGTGAAATTAATATTACATTTTGTGCTGAATTCATGAGAGAGTAGGGCAGACTACAGTTACCTCTTGAATAGCAGTAAAGTGTCATTAAAAAATCCTGCTCTTTAATGCAAGTTGATCATCACCAGATGTTTTTATAACAATAATAATAATACTGTATTAATAGTTTAAAACAGATCAACTTTTAGCCCTGACAATTTTGTTGTGTGGCCTATAAATCAATAAAGCTGAAGGAATCTAATGGTCTACAATTCGAAGTTGCTGTCATCTCCCCCAAATTACCACTAAATTACTTCCTTTGTACTCCACAAAGAATTGAAAAGTGAGAGTTATCATTAAGTTTTTAACACTTTCTAAAATGTTTGAAGGAAAATGAGGCCTTTGCCCTCTCTTAACCATCCTGCACAGCCTGTTTCTCATGCTGCCGACCTACTTCTGCTACTTACTAAGACAGTACTATTCCAACTCCAGGATACAAGTGCCACTAGCAAAAAGAGCCATGGCTGCAGGTCCAGCATGCCTGCAAAGTTGGACTCAAAGAACTTTGCCAGCATGCCAGCTGTAAACACATGAATATAATGGTCTCTGTTGATGGCAACTTCTGTTCTCATTTGGGAACAGTATTCCAGGCAGTACCAGATTGTATGTTGCAGACAGGTTGGGGGCAACCAGGCTTAATTAATGCTGTAATAGTATTAAATCTATAATAACATCATGGCCAAAAAAATGTTAGCTCTTGGTCTTCCCTTGTCTGTCAAAAAAAGAGGAAATTTGACAATGTAAGTAAAAGAAAAAAAATGCGGTTAACATAAGATGTTAAACCCTAAATAAATGTAGTAGCGCTTAATAATCATTAACCCATTCATCCCTGACAATTTGCTGGCCTGTAGGACTGTTGGTGATTGGTGATTAAAAGATATCTCCCCCACCCTCTGCACAGAAGTTGAGACAAAGTTGTGGGGTTGTCTTTGCCAGTGGAAGTTTATCACATGGTGGTACAGGGGAACTGCTTTCGGGCACCACATAAAGTAATTCCCTATGGTGAAGCAGAGGCCTCCATCTTTTCAGGTGGCCATGGGAAGAAAAGAGAAGAGGGAAAAGAGGCCTCTGCTTGCAGGGAATTCCCAGGCTCTTCAGTATGCAGAAAAGAAATTTAACACTTGGAATCTAACCTTGCATTGCACAGAAGAATGAGGTTCTGTACAGCTGATAGTGTTGATGTGTCATTTTGTCCTGTTATGAGATGTCTGTCAATAATGACATGCATACCATCAGGTTCAGTGGCTGAAAAAAAAAGGACAAAAAAAATAATTGAAAAGGTCATAATCATGGATTTGTCATAATACACTACCAGAAGTAAAACGTAAACTAACTTTAGGTCAATGGGTTCAAGTTCTTCAAATACAGTGAGGACGTTATAATATTATATTCCTACGATTGAGATGAGCTTTGAGAAGTTCTAGGAATTATGTTTGGATTTCCCCTTGGAAAAGGCTTGTTGTACATGGATGAGCCTTATGCCTTGATTCCTAATGTTTTACTCAGTTTTTTCCAACAGCATATATTCTCATTGGTTACTTCAAGGTCACATGGTTTTATTTATGACGAAAAAACCCTCACCGCTGTATGTGCCTCCATTATCTTTGATCCAGTCTTCAACAATTAATGGGAGACTTGAAAAATCAGCAGAGCGAGCTGATTCAAATACTGAGGGCTGAACATAACAAGACGTCAGTCCAAAAATGGTCTATTGTGAACAGTTTTACTGTATTGAATTATTGGATAAATTTAGGTTACTTTCTGGGAAACTGCCCACTTACCCCTCCCTTAAGCCAAGATTTTGCCCTAATACGTGTCAAATTATGTTGGCTTAGGGGAGGGGTAGGTGGGCAGTTCCCCAGAAACCAAATAATAGTATTAATGATCCTATTTATTTAATAGTAAATATGTTGACAGGGTGGTTACTATGAGCATTATAATAATTGACATAAAGTTAAAACTTAGAAAAATTAAACATAGAATACTTTGAAGGTTACCCCTGTCAAACTATAGCTCTTGAAACTCCAAGATTTTCTGTCTTCTCTTCTCGCTGAACAAAGCCCTGCAACACCATGTCCAACAGCACAGATGGGTTCTAAATAATAATAAAAAAAACATTGTAGCAGGCAGCAGACAATCCACATTACAGCTCAAGGAATATGGACAGAATCCTATCAATGACTGGAAATGTCTGGAATCCAAGTTCCACTGACCAAGAATCTGGAATTCAGTGCCTGGAATCTGGAATCCAGAATCCAAGACTGTCTTGGATTCCCTCAAGCATGTTGTGAGAAATAGACTAGTAACTGCATGCACTCACTTTTTTCCTGGACAAATGTATTAAGAAGTTTTGCCAACTCATTGTCTTGAGCCAAGTCATAGAGTGCTCCTGGAGCACTTGGTATTAATACTGCACCATACCTGGAAGCTACAGGAGAAAAAACATATTTTTTTTGACTGTGTTAACAAAGAAAGAGTCAGTCATTTGCATGAGATTATTAATAACAATACAGTCATAACATATTACCATATCCTTAAAGACAGGGATCATACCAAAAATTGCAACCATTTCTTAAGGACTTTTCAAGGGCCACATTCGATTTTCAAGGACCACCTACCAGGAATATAATTTCACAGTACAAAAATGCACATTCCCAGTCCAAGCAAACAGGACTTTAAAGGCTTAAACTGCTTGATCTACCAACTTCTTTTCAGTTCACTTGTCTTCAATTGACAGTTAATTCTTGCATATAAACAAAAAACTCTTTATGTAAATCACCTTTAAATTCTCTAAGCTATGATTCATATTATATCTTGGACCCGGAGGGGGGGCACTTGGGTATTTTTTGGGTGGGTATGTGCTGCCCGGGACTCCAAATTGGCACCCCGATCTAAAAAAAATTTCCCCTAAAATTGATACCCCATTCTAGAATTCGCCCTAAAACTGATACCCCGTTCTAGAAATGGGCCAATGTTTTATACTCCATTCTAAGGTGCAAAGAGTACAACAGTTTGCTTGTTAACGCATTGAACCATATTTTTAAAAGTAATCTGTCCTTGAATAATTTCAAATGGATGCTTACAAAAGTGGAGCTTTCGTGCATTGGAAATATTATACCCCGTTCTGGAAAATGCCTCTGAAATGGATACCCCGTTCTAAATCAGGAGCTTCAAAATCATGACCCCATTGGGCCGCACATACCTGTATAGGTAATGTATGGGAGTACCCCCCAGGGGGCCCCCCCCCCCCCCCCGCTGGGATCTTGGACAACCAAAAAGCATTTAAAAAACACTTTCCAGGCCACTACATTCAAAGTTGAAGAAAATTCAAGGACTTTTCAAGGATTCCACCTTAAATTCAAGGACTTTTCAAGGATTCCACCTTAAATTCAAGGACTTTTCAAGACTGTGCAAACCCTTAAAGAAAAAAATTTTCATTATCTCTCATCCAACAGACAGATAGTTCCAGCCAGAAACAATCCGTTAGGGGTTTCCATTACTCCCACACTGAAATATTCTGCAAATCATCTAAACTCTTTTTACCATCAACATCTTCAAGTTTTCCTGGAACTGAGAATGGTTTTGTTCTAAACTCATTTAACCACTTTCTGCTGTTTTCATCAGACTTCACAAAGTCTATTTGCTGGCCCTAGGATTCCAATAAACAAGCAATGCTAAATAACTGAATTTTTTATCGTATTTATTGCTGCATTACAAAAGGCTAGCCTTAAGGATCAGGAATCACACTGACTATACTGGACACTGTAAAGGTCTGTGACAAATAATTTAAATGTTACACATTCTAAACTACCAGATCACTAGTTGCTCGTTTGGAGGTTTTTTCAGACACATGTGCAAGCACCTAAGTTACAAAGAAACATTTTCTGAATAACAATTTTGCAAGAGACTAGCATCTATCCTGAAAGACCATCTACAGGAACTCACAGACACTCATTATTGTAAACTTTCAAAGCATGAGCCAGCTCTTTTTTTGGCATGTAATGGTCATTAAATTTCTGAGGGGTATAAGCATTACTCACTTTTAAATAGGGAGGGGTGGGACAGGCATTTGCACACTGGTAACACCGCTGCATTGACTCCTCTATTCTCTCTAGTCCTCAATAAATACGCTTAATATGATCTTATCTACATGAAATCATAGTTAGTAGTCCCCACTACTAACTATGATGTACTGTATCACACCTTCCCTATGCTTATCTATTTTGGGGAATTGCTTCAAGTTTAATCTAAACTGAGGATTGGATGGATTTGAAAGCTTGATTTTCCTACCTTAGGTGTTGCAATCTGTACATTGAACACAGAATGTGTCAGTGTAAATGCGTGAATGAAAGATTGAGCAGAGACACCTAAAGGGTATAAAATGCAAAAAATTAAGCTTATTAAATGTTCAAAGGAAACATCCTTATTTGACAGATAAAAACCTTGTGATATTTTATTTACACTCTCCAACTTGGGGTTCATATCCTGGTGTAAATGAAAACAAAAACAAAGACCAAACAATGTATAGATTATACAGTTATGACATCTTAAACAAATTAAGATATTAATGCTATGGAAAATTATGTTTTCTGACAGTACCAATATACCAGAACCAAGTTTCAGGACTGTGCTTTCGCAAGTATAATCTATTGAAGACCAAAAGAATTATACTTATTAGATTCTTTACATTTTATTATCTGACGAGTCAGGAATAAACAATATCCCTACCTTGAGTTGCAGAGCTACAAACTATCAAACAATTCGGCTTGGCCGCCATATTGGATTCGTTATCTCGTCCCAGACTTCTGGCTACAGAAAAAATGGAACGTTCACGCATGCGTTCATTTGAAAATGTCACAAGTCCGCGAAGAAAGCACTACTTCGTTGAGATGCTTTCTACTGAGGTTTTTTGCTGTAGTTTAACTTATTTATGCAATCACAAGTAATTTTGGGTAACCGTAGCTGCATGAGGTTCCTATTGTTGAACGGTATATAATGTTTAAACATGAATTTCAGGTAAGTGAACTGCTTGATCAATTTGATCGCCTTCGGCGAGAAACTGGTACCCGTGGTTACAATTATTCTTGAGCTTTATTAACTGTAACTTAACTTACATGTTTATCGTTTGTGGTGACAGGGAGGGCCCTGTGTGGAAGTCTTCAGCGCCCAAGGCCGCGATCCTGTAGCGAAATGGCGGCTAAGCGGGAGTGCGTCCGTCAAAAACAAGGTTTACGATAAGGACGTCAAGAGCTTTGTTTACAATTTGGAGGGTGAGACAACGACCACAAAGATGAGCCTACCCAAGGATGAGAAACAATCCCTGTGGCTTTTGCAGCGTTTTTTGATACTACAACTCTATGTGCCGCTTGGACATTCGTTTTCGCTGGAGTTTGGGATCACTGACTCTGGAAATAATAAACGCCGCATTTTGCTGTCTTCAAACCACCGTGAAGTTACAATTACCCACCTTCACGCGCGATTTCCGTTAAATATTCTTCGTCTTGGTGTTTGGTTAAATTTATGCATGGATTTGCAATCATTAGTCAGTGAAACCTTCAAGGGACAGTCTTTTAAAGCTCTGGAAAATTTAACAATTTCAGCGAGTTGCCGTTTGCGTAAAATATTTACTATGAAAGTGCAACCGTTTGATACCACGGACGATGATGAAATTTACGGTTGTCAGAACACAAACAATGGCGAAATCGACAATATTCCGAAAGCACATCAGATCTCCACCTCACCAGATGTGCAGTATCATACTCAGGTGTGTTTTAATCACTATGTTTAATTGTCTTGACGTGCAGTACACAAATAAACCAACTAATTAACCTTTTTGCAATTTTACAATGCACCTGTTTATACTCGTTAATTACTTTGTTAAACAGATAATTTTAAACAGTGGTCAGACGGCATAATTAAGAAAAGATAAACGCACAGCATGAACCCATCGGGTTATTGATGCTCAAAGGAGGCTACCCAGAATGAAAGAGTTGCTCACAGGGTAATTGAGGGCAACTTCAGCTTCTTGAGTGCTTGACAAACCTCCCAAGTGCATCCCTAACTTTTAATACATATCAGTCTGCTTACAGATAGTAGAAGAATTGCCTGAGAAAACAGCCAGCATATTTTAATGCCACCACTCGTTTCCACAAAAATAATGTCGGAAGAACCAGGCAGTGCAGAAATTCCATACCAAGGACACATGACTGCCTAGATTTACGTAGTGCTTCTGATTGGTTGAAAAAGGCCACGCCCAGATCTGGGCAGTGATGTGCCATCAGAATGGAATTTTGGCATTGGTTCCTCAGACGTAATTTCGCGGGGAAACCAGTGGTGGAATTATGAAATGTTGACTGTGTTCTCGGGGTAGGGGAATAGCGATTGCCTTGTCATGAGTGCATGCCATTGTACGTACAAATCCAAGTTCTCTGCAAAGATCACTTTAAATGATGTTTTGTTGAACAACTAGTTTCCTTTCTCAGTGTGGATTGTATGGTCACATAATTCTTCTTTGAGTACGCTCTAGCTTTTATCAGCATTCCACAATGCGCAAATTGTAAATTGATCGGGAATTGGCCAATTAGAGTGCATGCTTTACTACACTTTTGTTATCTTATAAAAGGACCCTTTTTATACACAACTCTTTTGAGTATTCTGATGTATAGTATTCTTATCTATATACTATTTGTACTATTAATTTTGTTGTTCTTTAAAGGTCATCAACATGGCCAAACTCTGGCAGGCAGAAATAAAAGCTAAGGAGAAAGCTGGACTTCCTCCACCTTCAACACCTATTTTTGCTGATTCAGACACAGGGATCAAACAGGAAGAGGAACCTACACATATTGCTTTTGGTTCTAAAATTGTTATTCCCAAACATGCTCGAAAAACCTCTCGCGAAGGGGGTGCGTCTTCAGCGGGTGCCAGATCATCATCTGGGCTGAATCGTAGTGGTTCAATACCACAGTTAAGGACTTCTTCTGCTGCAGAAGAGCCTGAGAGTGGCAGAGAAAGTAGTCGACAAACTCACAGACTGGCATACCAAAGGTCATTCTCTGATGCTACTAATTTGAACTCTAAGGAGTCATCTAATTCTCAACTTGAGGTTGAAGCAACACAATCAATGATGCAACCTCGTCCTCCACGAACTGGGTCGGGTGGAAAGGCTCGTCGGAGGCCCTTTAAAGTCAAGCATCCAGGAAGTGGAACAACAAAATCAAGCAATGTTAACGATAAGTATGCCACCAATCCTGTTAAGAGTGAGGTGAATGGCTCATCTAATTCAAATGACATTGTTCCTGAGGAAAAAGATATGGACAGTAACCAGGAGTCAATTTCTAGATCACAGAGTGAAAGTTCTCTAAAAATGTCTGGTAATGATAGTAGCTTATCAGAAAGTTTTAACAAGTTACACATCCGAATTCCTAACAAGGAAGAAAATGGTATCCAAAATCATGAAATGAGTGGCTCAAATGAGCCCTTGCCAACAACAACTCCAGACCTTGGATCTCCACCAGTTTTTACCTTTTCATCAAGACCTCGGTCTGCACCAAGATCACCAAGAAGTCGAAGGCCAAAGCAACAAGATTCTGGTGTAACCCATTTAGAGGAAAAACCAGCTATTCAAATTTTGTTGCAGCGACCTGCTGATGTCAAAGACTCTAAGCTTCGGTCCAGAAAAGATAGTAACAGATCTGAATATGATTCAGACTTTTACAAACCATCAGGGGAAAGTTCAGCCGAGGAAGATGAACTGCAAAACTTTTTGAAGTCAAGTGGACATTCCCGGTGTAGCTCACGAGGCTCTAAACTGAGCCCATTCCCCAGTCCTGAGCCAAGCCCAGAACCTGATGCATTATCTAATTCACAGGTTTTACGAATGAGCATCAAAAGTAGTCTGCTGAAGGAGGTAAGCGGACAACATACCAAGGCTGTGCTCTAAGGAAAATTTCAGGGAGCCCTTCGGGCTCCCAAGCATTTTAGTTAAGGTGCCCAGACCTCAAAGTTGGTGGCCCGAATAAAATTTTCGGGGAGCCCTTCGGGCTCCCAAGCATTCCAGCTCGGGTGCCCAGGCCTCTCAAGTTGGTCGCCCGAGTACATCTGATGACCAAGTATTTTTTACGCACACGAATCTTACTGGCCTGCTGATCACCAAACTTGGTAATTTTAGCTTTTGGATTCGACCAAAACCCGCATGTTGTCTTATCAAACCCATCAAAGTTTTCGTGCCATTCAGATTTAAAACCAGAAACGTGAGCAATGCCGCCGAATTGTTTAGGTCTTAAAGAGGGAAAAGTAAAAAAATTCAGCAAGTTTACGTAAACTTCATTAAGATCTTTGGGTCAAGGAAAACTGTGCTTTTTATCAGTAATACTAAACTAAAAAATAAATTTTCAAAAGGTGAATCAATGCGGCATGAAATATAATGTGACGGAGTTTTATACGGGGCAGATCAAACTCAAGTTCCCGTGAAAAATTCCGTGAAACAGTGAAACCGCCGCGCCCCCAAACCTATTGTTTCAATAAAAAATAAGTCATCTTTAATTTCCTTTTCTATATTATCAGTGAATCTTTTAGGATAATTGAGTTTTTTGTGGATACGGTCGAAGCGTAAACCAGCTCTTCTTTGCGTGTTTTTTTTTTGGCCGCTAAATTTAGCCTATATATGCCTGCATGCGAATTTAGTTATCGATACGTAAAATACCAAGACAACGTGGAACTGCCCTGTTTCTAAAACAACAATAAAAACGATCAGAACGATCATATCTTTTCTTTTTATACTTCACTATCTTGTGTAAAGGGAAGAAAACAATCATAAGTTATGTTTTAGCCAAGCAGACACAGCAGCCAAAAACCGTAAAAACATTACATTCGCATACTGCTTAACCTGAGATCAGGCGATATTTTATTTTATTTTTTTTGCTTCTTTGGCTCGAGAAGGAAAAAAAAAATAACGCCTGATACATTTATTTAACAAGCCGTCAACCACCCCCTAATTTACATAATCTAATGTCTACTTGACCTGTCATGCTATTAGCCAATAAGCGTTTACCATACGGGAATCAAATTTTGGCACGAATAATGTATGTTTTGAAATCAATTTTAGGGAAAAGAAAATTTTTAAGTACGTCCATGTTCAGATGGCGCTTCCTAAAAAAAAATTTAGATGTGTTGTTTTTGTGATGAAATACTGCTAGCTGGAGCTGCCGTACCTTTATTTAACAGCTACAAATAATAAAGACTTTACTGGTTAAAGCTCGTTGACTTTGTTCTGTACCAAAAGCAGTGAAAAAAAAAATTAGGCTGAAGCACCATATTTCACGAACTGAAAGGTGCTGTGAAAGCGAAGATCACTCAGAATAATTCGCAGGTTTCTGCTGAAGGAGGAATTACAGTGAAGCCGGGTCAAGATTCCATTCATGAATTCATTATTTGAAAAGTGAAGCCGTTTGTCGCTTCAGTAACTTGTAGCCGGTATCAAATTGCATTCAAATGATCGGTGTAAACGATGAGATGGAAAATATTTCAATGGATGAAATTTCTATTTAGGCATTCTTCAAATTCAAGAAAACTGAGCCAGTAGAAATTTCATAACGAACTCGCGTGTGTATTCACTGCTCATTACGCAAGCAAAAATGCAGACTGAAATCAACAACAACTAACGGATGGCGGCGTTTTGGCCAATCGGAACAGCGCAAATCATTCGTATTAGTTCCTATCCAATCAGAAAAAAGTCCAGATTCTGGCTTTTTTACATGTGATCCGACAAAGAAATGTATCATGCCCTCTTCCCGTGAGAGACATAAAGGGATAATAGGGAGAGGGCATGATCTCAGG